AAAATGGAGAATGCTTTAAGGGGTCGATGGCGCTAGGAAGCCAAAGAAAAAGGGAGAAGAGTTTCAACACTGAACTGGGGAGCGACGTTTAGTTTGTTGCTCGTTGGCCCTTTAGCTTTTGAGTTTCCTTCAAAGAGCACCCATTCGAGGAATCGCCTGCGGCATTGCATTTTGGGGCCAGCTGGATGGGGCTAGGCACTATGGTCAACGACCCCCCACATCATATCGGTGTGGCTCAAAGTTTAAGATATATTGCCGGCGAACCGGATGTGTTAGTTTACTTTTGCATATACCAGGGAACTCATTTTGGGCCAATTCTTATGTTGAGCGACACCCATAAGAGTTTAGTGAGTGTTGTTCTAAGTCTATACTCGTCACTTGCAGGCCTCTTGCTTTGACTTCCTCTTTTGGTAGGGGATTCCCATTCAGGTATTTCGCGACGCTTGTATGCCTGTGTCGTGTTGTAAGGGAACCTTTTTTTGTGGGCTTTTAGGGGAGCCAAGAGGAACACCACTTTTTTTCAGGGGGGTCCCCTAAAAAAGCACAAGCCCATGTGCAAAAATTGGCATCGTGCCGCAGTCCCCCGTCTATTGCTTCAACCTTCGGAATCCTATACACCACACTCACAGAACAGGTGCCGTGGTGTATGTTTAACTCGGGAACCCCACTCCACCCCGCACAACTGGTGCCAAGTCCTGGGCCCTGTTCCGAATGAGCATTCGAGCGTCAACTTAGAAAAAGGGGTCGAGCCTCACATGAGCCGGATTTTCAAAACCCGGGTAGATGAAGGCTAGGGACAATCCCAACTACAAATAGCGGATATCCGCCTTCTTAATTCTTCACGTGGTTCTGGGAAGGCCATTTTAATACCGGACTTTGATTGTGACTCACATGTGGCCATGAATTTAGATGAGGAACCGCCTGGAAAGTGGTTGGTGGACACAGACTCCAATGTCCACCAGAGGATCCCGAATTAAAATTCATGCTCGAAAAAATGGAGTCCACAACATGGGTTGCCCCGGAAAAATGAAAGGACTCTTCACCTGCGGTCCATATCCTGGTGCTTGAATTTTGACCCATATCCATGTGTTTGCGGTTGAAGCATCGCCTTGCTGTCAACTGTTTAGAATTGATTTCCTTCTGAGAGGGGGATGCTTAACTTGCTGCTTCTCAGCAGGGAATGAGGGAATGACCCCTACAAACAATCGATCCCCTATGGTTTCCTTGAATGGAATCCCCTTCTGGTTCAGTCCCAACACCAGAAGGTCATTGCCTACCTATCGCACCAGCCGTGCGAGCTGAGGCCCTGATCCAGGTGAAGAAAGGTGCAGGCCATTGGTCGGGAGTCGGGCCTCCCACCAGGCTCCAGGTAAAAGAAACCACTCAAATCCCTGTCGTGGTTTTCGTGGGTGTGGGATCCACTAAATCGCCGTGCGTGTTTTTTGCTTGGGACCAACAATATTTTGTGTTTTTCATGTTGGTTTCCTTTTAAGACCCGTGTAAAGAGGAGTACCCTCAACGAAATGACACACCCAAAATGGCAACCACAAGGGGTGCAACTCTTTGCCAGGTTCACAGGTTGCAACCGAGACTCGATAGGTGTGACAAAACGGATCGTTATGCTTTGGGGGGTGTGCTGGTCGGTTTGAAGCCAGACGCCTTCCATAGATTCCGTCGTACCTCCTGTCCTTGAGCGTTCTGTTTCAACTTTTGTTTTGCGAGAGAGTGGCGGAGGATCAACTTGTGCGGGAGAGCGAGATCCTTACCTGGGGAATTGCTGAACTTGAAGTGTTTGTGTTGCCAGATGTCTTCATGTTTCTTCATTATCAACAGCACACAGTTGTAAGTTTTCTCTGGCCAGTCAGCTTAGGTCGCGATTTGCTTGTGGATGATCCCAAGTCCAAAATCCAAAGTACAACAAGTGGGGGGGGGGCTGGGATGTGTCTTTCTTCGTGGATGTGGTTAGCCTTTAAAAGGAACACCAACTGAACGTGGCATTTGCTTGCACGCCGAACCGGAGTCCACCCCTCCACCAGGACTCGAATGAGTTTTGGAGGCGGCAAAAGCGCAGTGCGGGTCGTGTGGGGAGTTTTTTTTGTTTTTGTTGTTTGTGTTGTTGTGGTCTTTTGTTTGTGTTTGTATTTATGTTTGTGTTTCGTTGTTGTGGTTGCGCCTTTGGTAGGCCAAGATGGCGCTCTGCAGCACATCGAAAAGACCCTGCAGGCGAGGGGCGAACCCGGACCCGATGGCGACCCGCGAAGGCTGCTTGAGTTCGGCGCTTGGCTCTCGCCAACCTTTCCCAGACCTGATGTTAGTTTTTCTATTTGGGGATGTTGCACATGGGTGTGGCACAAATTTCAAGAGCTAGGGTTACTGAGGTTTTGGTCTTTGGTTCCATTTGCCAAGGTGCCATTTTGGTACATGTTTTTGAGCCACAGCCATATGGGTATGGGTCAACATTCAACCACCAGGATGTGCACCCCAGGTAAAGAGTCCTGTCCATTTCCCAGGGCAACCCATGTTGGGGGCTCCTTTTTTTGACCCACACCCATATGTGCTATGGTCAACACTCATTATATGGTCTATGGTCATGGTTCCCTCAAGGATCCTTCTGTGCATGACCATGCCTCTAAACCCCCGGCAAATGTGTCTTTTCACCATTGCTCATACCATGGGTATGCCTTTTTTGGGGGGACCCACAAAATGGTGGTTTTCCTCTTGGCGTCCCTTTAACAACCGCCAAAGAATGGGTGCCCTCAAAAAGGCACACCCGCATGTTCCTTTGAGATTGGGGGCTCGCATCTTTCTATAGATCCCGAATCCTTCCCAACGCTGAGCCCTTGAAATCTCCAAATGGCTGTGACTCCAAAACACGCTTCCCAAATGCCCCCTGAGATGGAACCGAGACCAAAACCTGCGGTTTGCCCTAGGCCTTCAAGTTTGAGCCACCCAAGTCTCTTGAATCCTTCCCAAAACGTGGAGGTTCAATGTTACTCGGTCCCGCACTTTTACCCATTTTTGGGGGGAGGGTTCCCCTACTAAATAGACTACAGAGAAAAAAGTTGGTACCCTTATTCTAACCTCTCAAATCTGGACCTAGGGTAGATGTCCCATCCATTTGCAAGAAGTCTCGAAGTCAATGTGCCAACACCCGTTGGTCACTCACCGAAGCTGCGGCCAGGGGCAGACCTGCCGTTTCGGCAGCCAGATCTTTGGCTTTAAGCAGGCGGGTTTTTCGGCCCCGGGCCGCGGGGGTTTGCTGCTTGGGCACCTGGTCTCGAGATGCTGAACTTTGGCGCGAATTTTTCCCAGGGAGGGGTCCTAAGAAAAAACCACTGGAAAACACTGGCAGGAGGGAACCCCTCATGCTTGTTGTTGAGAAACAGTTTGGCCATGTTTGCTTCTTGTGGTTTGGTGGTGGAAATCCAACCACTTAGCTGCTAAATTGTTTTTTTTTGCTCCCCTGCCGACGTCAACGAAGGGTAGGACTTTAACGTTTTGCGAACTAATGGGTTTTCCGTATTAAACCACTAAAAATTAAACTTTTAGCAGGGGAGCAAAAAGCACCCGCGCGAACATCCCCTAGCTCAAGGCTGAAAATCAAGAACCCACCAAGGACAATACGTGAGGGCCCATTCCCATTCCCATGAATGCCAATTGGTGACAACTGCCTGGGATTTTTAGGTCCATTCCGTGGACACTCGACAGGGCAATCCGTGCTTGAGGGTCCAACACTTTCTAATGCTCAGGGGAAGAGCCACCCACTAACTGGCACGAGGCAGATTTTGTCCATACACAATGCCTCCGATTTGGCACAACTGAGGAATCCCCATCAAGGGTCCCCAAAGAAACATTCACCCCTTTTGGAGTAACCAGCAGCCAGCAAAAGATTGTGCATAGGTCAACCAGCAAGCAGCAAGGCAGCAAGCAGCCACTGGCAACCTCCCAGATTTTCCTTTTTTGCGCTTAAGAGGGTCAAGTCAGGCGGCGGTGACACTGCTGACGCTGCTCAAACTGCTGCCCGAGAGCCCTGAGCCAAGGCTGTCCAAGTCGTCATTTCCTATTGGTTTTGGAAGTGAGACCTGGCTTCCTCCAATAGGACACTATCAATCCACCAAAGCTGATCCAGATGCTTACACATTCTCCCTATAGTTGGTTGAATGGTTAAGGCATGGACGATAACATCAATTGGGCTCATGAAAAGTAAGAACGGAGTTTTCTTTGGGTTTCCCTGCATTTTCCGCCGGGGAACCCCGCTGCTTGACTGCAAGGTTTGCTTAAACTGGGTGGGTTTCTCAAGGGGAACTCACCCGTGGTTCCCATATTTCCCCTTTCAAAGTTTGTAGACATCACCTTTTGGTTGCCGTCTCCTTTGGGAGTTCTATTTGAAGGGGACATATAGCGAATCGTGTGCTGTTATGAACCTTCCAGCAATGTTGCTGTGTTCGGATCAATCAGGCCACTCATACCTGAAACATATTTGTCTTGCGCACGGATGGGTAAGGGGTTTTTCTGGGAGGTGGCCGGGATTTACCATTTGACGCGCTTGTTCGGCTACACTCCGGTCGTGAATATTGTCGCGAAGAGAGTTGCGAAGGGACTCCCCCAGGGTTGGATTTACGGTGACCCCCCAAAAGACAGACACCCCCCGATCTTTCTTTTGCATAGTCTCCATGATCTTTAAAACATGGGGTCATGTACTCCCGAAATTCAGCAGTCACGACCCCCATGTTGCAAAGGGGTCAGAGTCATAGAAACTCCATCTGCTAGAATCCCTGCATGTTACCTCCAATCCAATCAATTACGATATTATATCCCAAATATATGTTTGTTTTATCAATGATTTGTGATATGTTTAATCCGAATATGACCTCCTCTACAGGCTGGAGGCCCGATTTTTGGTTGGTTTTTTCCTCAAGTCCGGGGCTTCCGTGGCTGACCCCCCCAGATGCGGCGTCAGGGTGATCATGCAGCTGGTAGAGCAGCTGGCGCGGCAGGAGCCTTGCGGAACAGAAGGATGCGCCGAAAAAAACGGCGCGGAGCTTGGATTCACCCCCTGTGGAATATGAAAAGAGTACCATGATCGAGTACCACAAGACTTCAAGATCACCAAAAAAGTAGACTAACTAAAATGGGATCAAGAAAATAAAAATGGATTCAGTATCACAAGATCACTCAAAAAAGGAAATAGGCGGAACAAATGAATATTAAATCTTCCCCAGAATTCGCTTTTTTATTTTTTTGATGTTTTGGGGTCCCTTTGTTTTCCACTGGCAACAAGATCATTTTTGTTCGCTGGGGTCCTACTTCCAGCCTAGAAAAGAGTACCACAAGATCACGAAGAAAATGGAAAGAGGCGGGAAAAACGGGGGAAACCCCACGAAAAGCGCGTCCAAACTGTGTTCCAAATCCCGATCTGTCAACCATCACAGCGTGCGAAAGGCTAAAGGGCCACAGCCATAGGTGGACTTTTTAGGCTAGTTTGGATGAAACGGATGAGACAATCGTTTGCGAATCCTTGCTATATGTTTGTTTTCAAGGGACACTCAGTGATGTTCCGCAGCCACAGCCAGACCGTGAAATACCTCGTTTGTCTTGGCCACGAGCTGTACTGCCCTGCATCTTTGGGTCTGTGTGCCTCCGAGATTGGCAACCACTAGGGTCAGCCGACCTTTCAACCTTTGTGTTTTATCTTGTTGCTTAATTTTCGTTCAAGGTCCCAAAAGCTCAACCTTTTATTTGGCCCGGGGAGTATTAAACCACCAGGCGACCTCCGGCTGTGTCAATGTTCGGCTGGAGAAGAATGTCGGGTGAAATTCAAGCTTCACCAGCGAGGCAGATCTGACAGCTCTGATCTGGTTACAACCCCTCGCAGCGCTGCCAGGGGCACCCTCCAGCCTTCTGTCAGTAGGTTGCCTCTTGGGGGCCCCGAGAGAAATTTCGACTAAGTATTTGTTGGACTTTCATGAGGAATCGTTAGGATCAATTGGGTAATCACCAGGTGTTTAGGATTTGTTCAACACACTACGAACTACCCAGCAACCACCTACTTGTCACCCACCAGCCAACCATTAACCGCAACCACCAATAGAAGCACACACGGAAGTGCCGAAGCTGACAGTTACAAACATTACCCGGCCTGCTGTTTCGGCGGATTTGGCCACGTTCCGTTTTAGTGGTGAAGGGACTGCCTAGAATATTTATAGGGATGGGAACCAAAGACTGGTGGCAAATCGCCGAAAGGGGCTTATTTCCCTTCACGTTTTTAGTTGTATTTAGTTGGTTTAGTGGTTGAGTTTTTATTTCACACACCAAAAGTTGTTCTTGCAGCGCAGAATCTGAGGACAGCTCAGATACAGGGAGCCCTCAGATACAGGGGTTCAGATTTCACCCGCTAAAGGCCAATCTTTTAGCAGGGGATCTGAGGATTGCTCGTTTCCCACAACCATGTATCTGCAGGTCAATGTGCATGGCCGAATGGTAGACTAGTGCCAACTTGGGCAAAGACATTCTTATTGGGCCCACCCAAATTCCCTGCCAACAATTCATTCAATCAAGATGGGAGGGCACACATTTTCCCGATGTCCTTTGAGGAAGACTCAGCATTTTGTTTGTGGCTCATCTAGATGCAAACCTGGGTGCTAAACGGAACATGTCTCAATGTGGTCAATGGAAACTCAGCACCCAGGAAATCATTTTTTCATAAACCCTTTTTCAGAACCCTTTTTCAGAAAAACAAATCCAGAACCCTTTTTCAGCACAGGAAATGCAACTCAGCCCGCAGGACTTTGGTATCCTCAGCAGCTTCATCAGCGACTGTGCCGAGGTTCCATGCCACACTTTGCCTCAGGCGTTTGCCCTTGTGGATTCGAAAAAGACGTGAGCTTTTACTGGGGTCTTTTTTTGGCCCAAGTTGCAGTTGTTGGCCCTGTGGGCTTTCCCTTTCAACCAGAAAGACCTGAAAAAGCAGGCCTTGGGTTGTTCGACCAAGAGCAAAATCAAGAAGGGCCCCCCACCAACCACGCTTGAGGGTGTTGCTTATGATATATTATAGTCCCCGCACGACCCCCATCTCCAATGTCTCTTGCCTGGGATATGCCAGGTGTTTGTCATCCGAACACGAATGAACAGCATCTCAAATGGGCGTTACAATGCAAAGCCTTCTGGTTACCTGGTTGGCTAAGGGCCATTGGCCATTGGGGGGCATATTGTCTTGTAGTGGTGCCTTTCAGGGCTCCTTTCAAAAACCATTTGATTTGAAGTACTAAACACCACAATAGCTGAAAGCCAAAACCTGGGATTGAAAGCCAAAAAAAAGCAAAAACAATCGGTAAGGCCTTATTACAAGGTGGGGCCCCTATAACCCACTCTAGCCCCCTGCTCCCTTGTTCCTCTAAATAAGGAATTAATCAGGCCATGTTAGAGTCTTCTGGAAAGCTGGGGGGCATTGGGTCTTGAGAACCCGTTGCCATGTTGGTCCCTGTTGGCTGAAGCGCATATGTTAGGCAGAGTTGGTGGAGCCTTGATCAAGCTTGACTAAGGGTTCACACCACGGATTCAATATGCGCTTGCACTCAAAATGCGTTTTGGAATTCCTGTGGAACGAAAGCAACACCACAAAGGATACCCTTAACAAGAAGAGACAACCAAATGGGTTCGGACTTGTATGTACAGGCTTTGACCCTAGTGAGAGGATCTCGGAATGCGCTCAGAACAAACTTCCAGAAACTCTGTCCGTATGTGTTTGTGCTTGTGCTTCCCAAAGATTGGCACTTCTGCTCTTTGACGTTTGGCGTAATTGGTGGCTTGTGCATTCTTTCCTTGAACTGTTAGCAATCCATTTTGAGATATTGCTCCATAGACCCTGATCTTGTTTCATGGAGCTTCCTTGAAGCAGGGCAATGTTTAGCCGAGGAATGCAGGAAGCCCCGTAGTACAGGATCTGGGCTTTAGTTTCATGCGCCACGGTCAAAGAAGTAAGAGCTTCATAAGCCTTATCCAGGCTGCAGAAGGTCCGAGTGGTGGAGAGGATGGCTTTTGTTTTGGTTGTCATGGCTGAAAGAGGGTCTTTGGGTGTCTTGTACGGTCCCTGCTTCTTTTCAGATCGCGCAGTGAATCAGTGACGCTGGTTGGTGATGGACTGCCCAGCAATGGTGATCATGAGCATAAACATGTGTTTCAGAGATTAGTTGTCATAGTGCCTGGCTTGCGAATGCTTGCTGACGGACAGTGTGACATTGGAGGCGCTTTTGAAGGACAAGTTCAGCAGTTGGTCGGTGGTTTATCCCCAGTGTTTGTAGGACTTGATATCCTGGGTGCAGGAGTTTGTCCATCAACAGCATGTCTGCTGTGGGTTTCCATAGGCCCCTGAAAGTGAACATTTTGATACCGGGGGGGGGTTCCTGACACCAAAGGTGACGTTGAGGATGTCACTTGAACGGACCTATGTTCGATTCCGTCGACAAGCTGATGTTGGCCGTTGCTCGAGCCAGAAGTCTGCCGGTCGAAGGCACTGCAGGTGGTGCCCTAGCCCACGCGGCATGGTCACGGTTTTTTTCGCGTCGGTGGTGGCTCTAGGGCTCTCATTTTTCAGTGGCGTTCGGTGCACCAGACTTGATGACTACGTCACTTTTTCATTGGTTGTTCAGAGCGACAAGATGTGCGTGCAGGCTGGTCCGTGGAGGACATCCCAAACGTGGTACATGGCAGATGATGGCATGGCTGGTCCGCGGAGCGCACCCTCCGTGCACGGCAACAAGTGTGATAACAGGACATCCCAAGCGTGGTACATGGCAGATGATCGCATGTTCAATCTGTTTTTTGGACTGTATTGGTGTTTGCAGGCTGACGTGGTGGGTGAGCCGGTCGGAATGGCAAAGTGCGAAAAGACTTCTTTGCAGAAATGGACGTTGACTCCATCAGGGCAGCTAACCACTGGCGGGCTTTGTTTAGATTGGGATTCGGTTAGCATGCAGAATTGCGATGAAGATGATGAAGCCGAGAACCAGCGATTTGTGATGGAAGCAACATGCCAGAAACTGAAGTGGAAGACGAATGAGGAGGTGCACGCCCAGTGTCCTGAGTCTCCAAAGCAGGTGCAGACTGAGTGTCCAAAACCGACGTGTCCTGAGCCGGATTGTCCGAAGTCAGTGCCCTTGGAAACCGTCTGGCCTGGCCTAGAGATGGTGGCAGTGCATGTTGCAGTTTTTACCAATGTGGCGCTGACGATCTGCCTTTGGACATGCAATTCAGGACCGAAAGTGCTTCAGGTGTGTGAGGAGTTGAAGACGGAGCTTAGACAGGCTCACGACGGCTTTGCGGTGGTTAATGGCCAGGAGACATCTGTGATGCAGCAGTGATGCAGGTCTTACACCCACCAGAGCAGCATGAAGCTCAGTTGCCCAGGGGTGCCCTTTTTCAGGTTGTTCTTTGTTTGTTTTTTGGCGCGGGGGAAGGACGGCAATCCTTCAAAACCAACTCGCAAAATGTTTGTGTGTTTCTTTTTGTTTGTTTTTTTTTTTGGGGGGGGGTCCTTTAAACCAACAGACAAAACTTGGTTGTGTTTGTTTTTTCTCCCCTTGGCCACTGAGGAAGCCCGAGCCGTGGTGGAGCTGGGTGCGGGCATGGCTTTTTTGGTGGTCAGTCCGGATCATCGCATCCTCGTCCCGGGCACCCTGACGGAAGCCCCAGGCATACTGTTCCTTAGACTTTTGAAGGTTTAGGGTACCCTTGCTAAGGTTTGGTTTGAAGGGACACCAAAAGGAAAGCACCACCATTCATGGGGGTTCTAGGGTTTGGTTTGAAGGGAAACCAAAAGGAAACCACCACCATTCATGGGTGTTCCACGATTTGACACACGGAAATATCCGTATATGAGCATAGCAACCGTGTGTGAACACGTGGTTTGATCCACTCTCTTGCGCGAAACCATGTGGTGCGGAGCTGGCAACTGCGCTGGTTGCTTAAACCTACCATGCCTGTGAGGAATTCCACCCATGAAGGTTCCTTTCATACAGTGGATGGACAACAACCATTTTGCACCACTGTTCTGAAATCCTCTCTTGGCTCGGTTCCCCTGCAAATACCAATGCACGCCATGGTTCAACCATGGTTTCTTAGGTGGTGCGAAAAGGACAGTCGGGATCCCTTATAAATTATGAATGGGCGATTCATTCTACTTTGCCCAGATCTGTGTCACGAATCAAATATGGAATCATTCAGGGGGGTGGTGCAAGGGTGGGGGTTCCCCGAGGCTTCCTACGGAACCCCTAAGCCACGGAACCTACTCCCCTCGTACCTACTCCCCGGATGGGATTCTCATCAAGCCAAGGCAAGAAGACAGTGCAGGCCAGGGAGCTGGCCCTGGGCAGCGACGTGATTCTCATCGACGCACCTGCGAAACTGAGCCACTTCGAATGGAAGCTCGAGCCCACGCTGGTGCTGAAGATCAGCTTCAAGCCGCGTGGCTGGTTTCGGGTTTGTGACCCAAATCGCCCCTTGAAGGCTTGTTTTTTTCATGACAAACCACTTAAAAAGGTGATCGACCTTTTAAAAGATTGGGGGGAAACTAATTAAATGTGACATGTTCGTTACAAACCACCAAAGGTGATTGACCTTTATTTTGCGCTTTCAGAAACCCAGGCCAGATTTTCCGGTGGCGGCGTTCATGGAACCTCCGTCCATCTTGAGCAAAGGCTGTCGCAGCAAGCCGGTGCTCCGTCGCGGATTGAAGGAGCATTCCAGATACCGCTGGATATTTGAGTGACTAGCTCAGAATGCTTGTGTGTGTGTGGGTTGGTGTGTGTCTGTGTGTGTTCGTTTGCGTTTGTCATGTTTACCAAGTAGGAAGCCTGACGAATGTAGATGATCTGTTTTCGAAACTTGTGCGTAGATTGGTGGTACCGGCATGCAAAACTGGGCCAGGCCACACGTTTACCGCACGGTTTTCACACGGCAACGCCGATTGATCCACATCTTGCGCACGCCATGATGCTGTGCCTTGATGTGTGGGTCACAATCCTTTTTGTAATGTGAATCTTGGATTCATTCATCCTCGTTTAGTACGTAGTAACAAATCATATGTTTTGAAGATAATGCGCCGTTGAACCCGCCCCAATCATTGAACACACATCGCAATTATGAACGAATCCAGGGTTCATATTGCCGGAGGTGCCTCAACCGTAAAGATCCCTGCGCGCAAAATGATGCCTACATCGGGTTGGCCAGCATATTGGGTGAGTTTGATCTCATGACGTTTGGTTTGGGCTTCCTGCAGGTGCCATGGAGCAACCCTCTTGGGTCTCGAACTGATCTGATTCGGTTCTTCCATTTTTGTTGGTTCAATTTGCGTCTATGACCTTGCTTCGAGGAGCTTCCCGGGTGATATCAACTGAGGAACGCAGGAAGGTCTGTGGATACGAAACCTGGTCTTTAGCTGCACGTGCCAATGTTCAAGAAACAGAAGCTTCATACGCCTCCAGGCCGAAGAAGGCCCAAGAAGCGGCCCGAGCGGCTGGGAGGTCTTTCTACAGTTGGTTTGGATGAGTAAAAGGGGGTTTTCGGGGCGTTGTATGGTCCCTGTCCCTGTTTTCTAAAGATGGCGCTGTGAATCAAGAACGGTCATGGTTGGGTGTTGATCCTGACAATCCACTCTTTGATACGTTGACGCAGACCCCCTCCATTGTAGATGACTGTATCTCAGAGAATAGCTGCCTGGCTTGCAAATAAATGCTTTGCTGATTTGGGACCTGCCAGATTACTGTTTTGGGACCTGGCCAGATTGCGGTGACAGAACTGTTGATGGACCAGATCCAGTCGTTAGGTGGTGTATTTGAACAGGACACTACCCCCAAACCACTTCCTGCAAGGGAAATCCTGGTACATGCCCTTTGCATAGTAGTGATTGTATAGTGGTTGTATACCCCATGTTTCCCTTGAGGGTGGTGGTCTGGGGCGAGTGGAAACCTTGCAACTCTTGATGGGCCAGTTCATTTGAACAGGATTTGTTCCATCCTAGGCCTTGGCCCCTCTTGGAAGCTTTGTGTGCTTGGCAGGGAGGGAACCCAAAGAAGCCCTTCCCACTTCCTGAGTTCATGAACTTTAAACTTGTTGGGAAGACCATTTTAGTGGTAAAGATAAGGTTTGGACTTTTTTGCGGCCATCCACTCGGCAAGTGAGCCTTACTGAGCCCTTCCTCAGGTCTTATTTCGGCTCCCCGTTGCCCCCTCGAGGTGCGAAGGTTCCCCTCCCCCTCCCCTCGCAAATCAAAGAAAACCATCCCACACCTCCCCCACCAAACCTTTGGGCCTCCCTCCCCCCCACCCCCCACTTCACCCCACCCCCCCCCACGCCCCACCTCCTCCCCCACCCCCCACTTCACCCCCCACTTCCTCCCCCACCCCCCACTTCACCCCACCCCTTTGAAGCTCTCGAAGCTTTCGAGTCGCAGGCCTTGGGCGCCCTGCGGCACCGGCCGCTGAAGCTGAGCGCCTTCCAGCGCACCGACCAGCGCTGCAAGGACTTCGATTTGGTGGACCCAGCAGCTTTTTGGCGCGACGAACCAATTCGGGGCCCTTGGTAAGGCGCCAGGGTCCAAAAAGGGGGGGCCAAGTGCGCAGATTCTGACCCTATCATGACTTTAGTTGTTTTTTTTTTTACAGTACCGATGGTCTTCCCTGAGTTTTTTTTGCGGGGTCAGTGTGGCCGGGCCTTGATTCTGCATGCTTATTCTTGGCGAGTTTGGTTAACAATAGATGGATTTTTGCTATGACTCCTTCAACAGCTATCAAATGGTTTGTTAAGTTGACCTCCTTTGGGCAATTTTCGGGCAGCATTTCGGCCTTTTGACACCCACTGGGTGCCCATGGCTTCACTTTGTTTCTACCCAATTTGGCGGCCTAGACGCCTCCATTCGACACTCCGGGCTGTTTCCGGGCAATTTTCATACCACGGTTGAATGTTTGGGCATTGTCTCTCCATATTTCGATTTTCGGACAACCGATCGGACGAATCGGAGATGCTTGGTACTTCAGGGTTGGGTTTGTTTAGGGTGCCAGGCGGTTTCAAAGGGACCCCAAAAAGAAACCACCCATGTTGGGGGTTGCCTCATTTTGACACAAGCTCCTTTGCATGTTCTGCATTGGTTGAGCCGTGTGCTGCATACTTCAGTATGATTGATCTCCAATAGAGACCAACACCGAAAAGGGTTAACCAGGTTCAGTCTTTTCACACACCCTAATGAGCGCCCCTGTGACTACGATTTTAGGGGATGGTTGGTTTCAAAGGGAAGCGCCCCTCTTGCCACCCCGAAGGGCGGGGTTTGTCTTCAAATGGGATATGACAAGGGCAGGAACCTCATTAGAAAGGAACATCGTGTCTGTTAGTCGATTGTTTTGTCGGTTGATTACTTTAATTGGAGAATAGCTGGGAGCCTGATGCGGGACAAACCAGGCTTGGCTTGTCCCCCCCCCTGCGAAGATGGAGTTGGGTCCCGGACCCCCCCACTCGCCCTTAAGGTAGGGGGGATGGCTGAGGTATTGCGAAGGTATCCAATATTTTAAAGTGAATTCGGTAGGCGGCACCTGGGACTAACGAAATTTCCGGCACTGACTCATTCTCCCAGGGTCAAAGCATATGTTTACCATGGCTTATCCAGCACCCCCCAACCACTGCTTGTTAGTTACCGTACAAACAGGATTTCGGTTGCATGGTCGAAAGGGCAGTTGCAAGTTGCAGTGTGCTGGACATTATCCTATCATCATGACTCAATGTTTCTTTCAAGTACCCCAATCCGCGGGGTGCTGGATATTGTGACTTTCTCTTTTTTTCTGGGTGTTTGAAGGGAAGCCAAAGAGCAACCATCCACTTTGGCTCAAACGGAATCATAAATGGCCTTCGCAGTTTCGTTTTTGGGGGGAAGCGGGGAAAGTGGGTGGAACTGATGGACAATCCAACAGTTGCAGGGTTTTAGGCGGTTAATACTTATTCTTGCAGGTGGTTTGTCCATAGGTGGTGCGGGATTTTGTCCATCCACGGATCTTAGGCGGGCCGGGGGATGGGGTGGAATCCTTGGAATACTATTCACAGGGCAGCCAGCACGGGTTTTGTCTTGCGAGGAGCGCTTGCCAGGATCTGAACAGGCGCGGGAGGAGTGCGTGCCGTCAGCTTTAGTCATAGTCCTTTGGATCAGTGTCTAGGTCCCCCAGGTGGGTCCCTTTCTCACCCCTTTTTGGTTGGGAGATTCGGTTCCCCGACTAAAATAGACGAAGCAGAAAAAAAGATGCCCTTATTCTACCCCCTCTACTGGAGGACCTAGGTGCGAATGAACATAGATTGGTGTTTTCAACATTGGGGACCCCAGGTGGTGTCCTTTGGTTTCCCTTATCCAAAAAGGCTCCGATTCTTATTTTGAGAACCCCCGAGATAGATTCTAATCAGGACCTCCCAATGGTTTAGTGACCTCCGCTGGGCATTGTTGCAAATGGCCAAATATTGCCACTGGACGGCCATGGGAAGGGGGCATCGTTTTTTTTCTCCGAAGGACGCCGCGGGCTTTGGCTGCATTGGCTTGTTCAGGGTTGAAGTCTGGGTCAAGTCTTGAAGCAGGTCCTGTGATTCGGTAACTTGGACAAATTGTCTCGCTGTCCGAGTTCCTGCACCTAAAGCTTTTCGGGGCTGGACCATTTTAGTGGCAAACAACAAGTCTGGATCTTGTTTGGACCATCAACTCGGGAGATGATTGCCAAGAAATGTTAGCATTGTACATTGCATATCATTTGATCATATACCTGCAAGGCGTGCGGAAAGGAAATCGCGGTGCCTAATCTGGCGGTGCTTTCAAATGTGGAGCTGTGGAATGGGCGCCGTGCAGTTGCTTCGGGTGTTTGTGTATGTATTTGCTGTTCGACATAGTTATGTTGTCTTCTCCGCGGCACGTTCATGGCTGGTAAATCGGAAACGACAACAGCACAATTGCAAGCAAACGGAGGCAATTGGTGAGAGGGCGATGCAGCAAGGAATAATACGCTAAGTTGGATAAATCCAGTGCAATGTCACACACCACGGACTGAGAAGTGTCCACCAACCGAGCATATCATTTTCCTCGCTTGCTGGCGACGGTATCTTTGGGCACCAGCCCGGGTTTAGGGGCTCTGACTTGAAAGTGGACATCCCGTAGGAAAAGGGCTTTGCGCGCTTTGGTGACCAGTCTTACATGATTTGGCCTGGACACCAACCAAAAGAAAACGTGTTCTTCTGACCTACCGCTGGCACTCACCAGCACATTCCCCTCAGCCACAGCCTCGCCTTGCCAACATGAATGGGTCCTTTCCTGCTGTATGGCAGAATGGTGGACACGAACAAATCTATGTTGCCAAACAAAAAGGCACGCCTGCTGGGTGAACTAATTTGGATTCACTCTGCTGAACTCCATGAGGAACTGTCCTGAGCCCCAAATGTGTTGTTTGAGTGGGTGTGTTTGTGTGTGTGTGTGTGTGTGTGTGGGAATGATTAGTTGTTTTTTCGTGTTGTTTGTTTGTTGCTTTGTTCGTTTTGAGGAATCCCCCCTTTTACCGTCCGGATATCCAAGATTTGAGCAGAGAAGCCCGGGCATACCTTGTCTTGTTCATCCCCTTTCGCGAGCAAGCCAGGCTGGGCTGCCAGACAAGTCAGGCACGAGAAAAGTTTGGGTTTTATGTGGCCATTTGGAGCGAGCCGAATTGCTTTAAAGGCCGGAACAGGGCAGTTTTGAGGGTGTCGCTTCAACGGACCCAGTTTGTGTAGGGTTATTTTCTGTGGCTTATGACAGAAAGTTGCCCACTTTTGACCAAGAGGCACGGGTCTCACTTAGGGGGTGTTGTATGTTTGGGGACCCCATGGACTCCGCAAAACGGATGTTGTCCTTGTTTGCTTATCCGTTAAAACCAACCCAACAGTTGGTACCCTCAAAAAAGATGAACCCAAAAGGTTGTGTTTGCCCTTCAGATAGTAGAGCATTGGCCTAATGTCCTTTACCTTCACCAGGATATCCAAATTTCCAGCGTCTTTGGTGCAGCCCTCGGAACCCCTGGTTTAAGCACGTGAACAGGGGTTGTCCTTTTGAAAAGCACTGTTGCAACTCGCCGAGATTTTCATGGACCCCTTTTTGGAGAGTGCTTAGGGAAGCATTTAGCCGGTGGAAAGCCGAGATAGGCGCAGAGCCAGGTTGATGCTGGTTGTCTACTGAGGGCCCCAGATGGTGGGTGTTTATTGGTTCAAAATGTGCATGCTCTAGAACATTCCCGCGGGCTGGAAGGCCTAAAAGTTAAACGGCTGCCTCATCCGGCATATGACTGAGTGTCCAAAGTGGGAGACCCTTCTTGGAACATGATACCACAATGAAGCCAAAGATTCGGAACAACATGATACCCTTTTTGGGTTTCAAGAACATGATACCAAAATGAAGCCCTCAATCCCGGTTTTGTGGAGCCCTCCTTAGAAAGACCCTCAATCTCGGTTTCGTGATGGCACCGGCGTCCTCCATTGCTTGGATTTGGGTTGATTTGGGCCTGGTGTGGTGGGTTGTGTGAATACTGTCTTAGGGAGGGAGAGGGGCAGCAACACGCAACACGGGAGCACACAAATGCATACATATATATATATACATATATATATATATAATTGTGTATGTATGCATTGGCATTCATACACGTGTGTATGTATATGATGTGTACGTTTGAACATAGAGACCAACAACATCATACAAACATATGCACCACCCCCTTCAAAACCCGTGCCTGCTGCTTGCGTAAGGGACGTAAGTCAGGTCAGTTTACTGTAGATGGATGTCACTGGAAGTGAGCTCATTTTCCAATGTTGGCAGACTTGCGCAGATTCTTCATTAAGACCTTGCCACCCATTTAAATGGTATTTGGTTTTACTTTCTGACGAATGTGTGTGTGTGTGTGTGGCATTCCTCCTTTTGATCCTTGTTCAATCATTTCATACACCGTTTGGTCATAACGTGAGTGTTTTTCAACACACGTTAATTTGAACATGGCATTAGAAGCAAGTTTAGGTACAGCGTAAAAGCGAAGTTCGGTACAGTGTCATAGTACACAGGGCGTAAGCCATAAGTATGTCATTCAGGCATCTCGGAAGTGTTCAAAGAGTCAACAATACCGCATCTGCTTTTGCATAGAAATCGTGATGTTCTCTCCACGTGTCCATATGATTTTGCTTGTTCATAGTCTTCATCACTAATGGTGTCCTCGCTCAATTGACGGTAACACATCTCTGTGGACTGCCGGCGCAAGGAATCAACAATAAAGCAAACAATGCCTCTTCTGCTTCACCTGCACATCTTCGATTTATCATCTCAACTGATGTGCAAATCCTCTTTGTTTGTCAACTTACATGCCTGTGCCAATATGTGCTACGTAACTCATCTACAGCTCACAAACCTTGGCCAATACCAAAACTTCTGCTCACATCTTACATGCCTTGACCAATGCCACGTCTGCTAAAACACTTAATCTCCCTGAGCGAAATCTGTTTTGCGCAAAACCTGCTAAGACGCATGCACAACACTGGTATTTACAGATTTTGTTCAATATCCAAAGGGTCGGCGGGGATTTCTTTAAAACATGTTCAAAAAACAAAATTGTCCAATGTCCATATGCTGGACTATCAAAAGTATTTTGCACACACAAGTCCAAAAGAACGGCAAAGTGCACAACCAAACAGGAATGACTGAAAGCAGTCGCTTTGAAGCGCTTTCGGATCTAAAATTCAAGTTTCAAGATTTCCAGCACTCTAGTTCTTGAATCTTGAATCCAGTATAGGGCCCGCAAAACGCTTTGAAGCGCTGTAGAGCACTTTTGGATCTAAAATTCAAGATTCAAGATTCACAGGACTCTAGGTCTTGAATCTTGAATCCAGTAAGGTCCCCCAAAACGCTTTGAAGCGCTTTAAAGCACTTTTGGATCTAAGATTCAGGATTTGCAGGACTCTAGATGTTAAGTCTTGACTCCAGTATGAAGCCACAACACGCTCTAATGCGCTTCCATCCACGTAGCTCATTGATTGAATTGCTTTAAAGCTTTTCTGGCCAGAGTCACAGTCCAATGTGCAAATGCGGGCGCAGTTAAATGCTCAGATTTGAGGTACCTGAAAAGGGAGTGGAAATCACCCAAAAGCACTGTAAATACCGTCCAATTCTCTTGGCGTCTCTTTATTGTTGAGGGGGGGTACAAATATTTATTATATATATATCATACATATACATACATATATGGGGTACCATATATATATATATGTATCCTTTGGTGCATGTTGCTTGGATGTTAGGACTTTAACTTTTTGCCAACTAATAGGTTTTCCGTATTAAACCACTAAAAGCAAGGTAAACTTTTAGCAGGGCACAGATGTCGCAACCGAGTATATATATATATATATTCTAGATCACTATGAAACTATTTGCGGGGGTCCTTTTTTCGTTTCGGCCAGGCTTGGCCCTGGACCTGGGCGCCTCCTCGCGCTTCTTGCGCTGCGGCCAGGGCCTGGCGCAGCTGGCGCGGAGCTGCGCCCACTTCGGGCCCGAGGAGGCGCTTTGGGCGCGGGGGTGGGGGGTGTGGCTGGTTCTTCAATTTGCGGAAATGGCCATGGGTCAAAAGCCCGTACCCCCAGTGAACATCCCAATCCCCACTAAAATTGAATAAAATGGGTGGTGCACCTACCCCAAAATAGTACCATTGGTTTTGACCCACAGCCAAATGATATGTTTTTTATGTTTTTCCCCGGTGTTGGTTTTTAGTTTTTAGAGGGAATCTATTCACTACTGGAAATATTTGTTATTTGCTGAAATGAATATTTGGGTGGTCAAAATGAAACCAGGATATGGACCACAGGTTTAGTCATTGGTTCCATTTACTAGGGTTCCAAAACGGATACCCATTTTTGAGCCATGTTTTGTTTTCTCCTGCTGGTTTTAAAAGGAATTTATCACTACTGCAAATATGTTTTTCTTGTTTTTTCCAGGGGTCTTAACCAAATGGGAGGGTTGGTGGTACCCGGTGGTCATTTGGTTTCATCCATGGGGTTTCGCAGGATTCATGGTGATTTGGGGTTGAGGATAGGGATAGGGTTTCATTCTAAACGGTGGATGGGGATTCATAGGGTTTTCATTCAGGAAACGGTTTGGATGGGGTTGTTGTGGCTCCCTTGTGGGATAGCAAAACGCTTCTAAAAGAAAAAATAAAAGAAGAACAACTCGTAAAACAGCGCGGGGAAATCACAGAAAGCGCATCCAATCCGTTTGCTGGAGTCATATGGTTTCATAGGGTTTGAGTGGGTTTGAGTGGGTTTGAGTGGGTTTTAGTTGGTTTCATGGGGTTGTGTAGGGTTTCGGTTTTGATAGGATCTCTGCCCCCTTGATTGAACTTGGGGGGTGATCCCGGACTCCCGTTCCGTTGAGGTATGGGAATTTCATAGGGCTTTATCCATAGGGATTTGTAGGGTTTCTTTTTGGGTTTCGCTTGGAGTCCCAACTGGTAGGTGGGTGTTGCTCGAGTTTTCCGTTGGTTGTATTGTAAGAGAAAAATGTGGTTTGGATTGGAGTGTTTTCCCGAACAGCTCTTAGGTGGTTCAACCCAGAATTCATAGGGTTTCATCCATCCCGTAGGGTTTCATGGGGTTTCATGGTTTTTCCTGTTTGGCGCCGCGCGGCTTCGCCCGGTTTTACACTGTCCAGCACCCCCCAACAGCTTGCTCAACCGGCCCAAAACAGAAGTGCCAGGAAAAGGCCTGTCACTTGTTTGAAAGTTAGCCTACTGCGCTCCATGGCTGCCAGAGGAGCAGACTGGGTCGAGGAGGGAGAAAAGGATATCTTCTTGCCAGGGCATGGACGCAGCTGAACCCGGCAAATCATGGGCGCATGTTGCGCAACATCAGCCCGCTTTGGCTGCCCTGCACCCGGCATGCTGGTGTGTTCCGCAAGTTCAACTGCGCTGGGAACGTGACCATCCAGGATCAGCAGTTCGCAGCTTTTCGTGGAGTTCGTGGCACGCTGATGATCACGCAGGTTGCCACGCTGGTCTGCATGTCCAAAACCCCAATGTACAAAAGGCAGTTGCTGGGGGCGTTTTTGTTGTTGGGTGTGGTTTCCCGTGGTTCCTTTTTTTTGGGGGGGGGGGGTTGTTTGATTGTCCTTCTTTTTTTTCCGCCGTTTTGTCCGTTGGTTCTTGATTTGTGGATTTGAACCTTTGGTTCTTCTCCTTTTTCCCCAGCAGCTGGTAGGTGGTTTCATAGGGCCTCATTCATCCCAACCGGCGCGAAGTTGATTTTGACCACAGATCAAGATGGGCGATGTGTCTCCCTGTGGGGTCCATAGGCCTGCGGAGTTGTTCAGAGCTCTGGGGAAGAACGGAAGGGTTCCCGGGTGTTTGTTGGGGAAATGCGTGTTTTTCCCCGCCCGTGTGTTGTTGATTTCCGGTAAGCCCTTATGACGCGGCAAGTGGGGTAATAATTAGCAGTTGATTCCTTTTTCACCAGCAGAAATAGCCAAGATTTCTTCAAGCTGATCTTGGGCCAGGTGTTGGCTTGTTTGGTTGGGGTGGTAAGGTAAGGGGGGTGCTCCAAGTAAGTACCATTGCCAGACTCAACGGTTATTTGACAGGTCCACAATGCCGTGATGAACGTTGTCCTTGCAGGGAAAACGATAGGGGCTTCCGAACAGTTTGAAGGTAGGATCCTGGTCTGACCCCAACATTGGTTTAACACAGTTCACAGGAGTCATCAACAACTGATGGAGCAGTCTTAAGTCACTGCCCGTGACCCCCCCGTTTCCACGTGTGCCACGGTGAACACCACCTTTTGCATGGGGGTATCAGAGATTCAGAAGGGAACGAACCCAGTACCCACCCTAAACCAACCCTAAGCCAACCTCAAGTCAGCCCTAAACCAACCCTCAGCCAGCCCTAACCAACCCCATACCTAAGGGAACTTATAGAGCAAAGGTTCCCTTTAGGGAATCATGCAAAAGAGACCCCACGCACTCTCAGAGTTTCGCGCACGGCTTTGACCGCGTGGTAAACAGTGGCCGTTTTGGGGTGGAAACCACGTCGTCTCAAAATAGGGGGCGGGGTTCTCAAAAATAGGGGTTTCCCCAAGCCGATTTATCTGCAAGTTTTACCACTCCAAATCTTCCCCGAAGCCGAGATATCTGAAAGTTCTACCAATCATGAGGCATTCCCGGTGTGAAGAACCTACCCTCACATCCACATGGAACCTGCCAGAGGGTCCCTTACATGAAATGGTCTTCCAGGGCCCCCCAGTCGGCTTACAGGTTGGTTGGCAGGGTACATCATACTGTGGATTGCGAAATCCACTTCGCATCTCAGTTCAGATGCTTCGATTCCCCTGTTCCTGCAAATATTTACCAACCAACTCCAGTTTCGCACATCTTGGTGGCTCCTAGCCGTCCCCTTGGCTTTTTAGCCTTTTAGTGTTTAGTGTAGTTTCCATTCAACCCACTAAAAGTTAGTCACTTTTTGTCACTTTCTTGAGGAATTCAACCACCGGTTTCCAATGCTTGGATGCTTCTTAGGTGCAGGGTTTTGTCCATCCACAGCAGTGAGCTCGATTTCCTCCCCTGCAGAACCTCCACGTGGCTCTCCTGCAGCTCCTCACGAGCACTGCGACCTGGGCCGAGGCTCGAGATCTTGCAATCCGTGAAACGAATCCTTTGGGTGGGCCAAGTTTTCTTAGCGTGCCTCATCTAGGTCCCCCAGCTAGGTGCCCTTTCTCACCCCTTTTTTGATTGGGAGGGTTCCCCTACAAAAATAGACTACAGAGTTCCAGATTCTTAGGGTGTTTCAGACAGGCTTTTTGGGAGGTCCAAAGCCGTTCCAAATGAGATCCTGACTCCTTCACTGGAGGCTCAATGATGTTTAGGATTTGAACGAAGTCTCCTTCTGGTGCGGTGATGTCAGGGTGAATAGAGGGAGCCAGACCTTTTGCGGTGCCCCTTCTCCCCCTTATTTTGGAGCAATTCGGTAATTCATTTTTCGTGGGTGCACCTTTTGCTCTTGGAGGTCCGGAAAGTAAACGTGGGTTGGAATTGGGCGGGGGCCTGGCGCCAGGAAGCGCCAAAGGACATGTAATGACGTCCTTTGAGAGCAATTGCCAATTCCATGTCGTTATCTTTGCTTGCTTTGTTTCCTTGGCTTGTCTATCTCAACCGTTTCTTTTTATTGTGTTCATGTCCTTCGGAAGTCATGCTTGATAGCTTCGGTATAATCATGATTCTAAGTTAACCAACCCCTGTTGTTGCACTTTTAGCCCGGTTTTTCCCCAGATAGCTGAAAGCTATAGGGGCTCTAACTTCTAATGAAGAAGAGAAAGTGATTTGCAAGATTGAGGGCTGGTGCTAGGCGGTATGTGGTTTGGGGTGCTGGTGGAGGTGCTGTTTTGCAAGCTTGACGGCTGGGTGCTAGGGGTATGCAGTTTGGGGTGCTGGTGGAGGTGCTGTTTTGCGAGCTTGACGGCTGGGTGCTAGGGGGCATGCAGTTTGGGGTGCTGGTGGAGGTGCTGTTTTGCGAGCTTGACGGCTGGGTGCTAGGGGCCATGCAGTTTGGGGTGCTGGTGGAGGTGCTGTTTTGCGAGCTTGACGGCTGGGTGCTAGGGGTGCGAGCTTGACGGCTGGGTGCTAGGGGGCATGCAGTTTGGGGTGCTTGTGGAGGCGCTGTTTTGCGAGCTTGACGGCTGGGTGCCAGGGGGCATGCAGTTTGGGGTGCTGGTGGAGGTGCTGCATGTAGTTCATCATGATGCTGTCCGCAGCACCATGATGCTGTTGAACCGATTCGGACGTTGTTGCTGCTCTAAATGTCGTGAGTAATGGTTCGTGGTTCGTGGCTGGTGTATCATCATGATGTTGTCAACCACGTCATGATGCTGCTGTCACTGCGACGCTGCATTATGGTTCGTGGGTGTGGCGGCGCCATGATGCTGTCAACATCAGCTCATTAATTATGCTGTCGCAAGATGATTCGTGGCTGTGGTCTCATCATGATGCTGCCTTTGCCATCACCATGATGCTGTTAGCACCACCATGGTGCTATCCGCATCATGGTGATGCTGCCATCATCATCATCATCATCATCATCATCATCATCATCATCATCATCATGCTGTCGCACTCATCAGGACGTCGTCTCTGCCTTTTGTCTGCTAGATATGTAGCGCGGAATCGTTCGTGGCTGGAGCATCAGTGTGATGCTGTCAACATCACCATTATGCTGCTGAACTCATTAGGACGTTGTCTGCGCGCGTCTATTTAGCGCACCATGCTGAGTGGCTGTGGCACCATCATGATGCCGTCAACATCATCATGACGCTGCCAGCATCATCATGATGCCGATGGAACCATTATGATGCTGCGTCATGGGTCGTAGCCGTCTTGTGCTATCTGGGGTCTATGCTTGTGCATTTTTTGTAAACCCGACCAATTTTCGGGATCTTTTCCATCCCGCCCTTGGAAGTCTAACCAAGTACCAAGTTGGTTGATTCCCCCCTTTTGCACATCGTTTCGGTGCCGTCAGAACCCGGCGCCCCCGGGCCCCCGGTTCTCCCCGTCCACGCCCAACCCGTCGCCCAACTTCAGGCGGAGCCGCTGCTGCTGGCGTGCCTCGAGGCTTCCAGAAACCTCCGGCCCCAGGCGATGGCCGAAGCGTGTGGCGTGTGGCTCGCTGCCGTTTTTGTGGTTTTTGTGTGTGTCATCCATTTGCTGAAATGAATATGTTTTATTGTTTTAATTTTATTTTTGTTGGTTTTTAGAGGGAATCTATCACTACTGGAAACATGTTTTTTTATTTTTCCAGGGGGCTTAAGCAAATGGAAGGTGTATGGTGTTTTTTGCTAGTGTGTGCTGTGTGCTTCCCTTGTAGTTACTATTGCTTGTGGGGATGCTAGCTGATTTTGGTTCACCCAGGGAGTAGCTGGGTTGCTCTATCCCCTCAAACAAAACGGTTCAAAAGCTCCTTTGTGTGTTTTGTGTGTACCTAGATCCCCAGTTGCGCAATTATTTTCCGGCTATTTCTGCTAGTGGCTGGACAAGGTGGCTACTTGTAGAGATGGTAGCTGTGTTGTTTTACCCCCTTTTTCGATGGGCTTGGCCACAAACACACGTTTAGATGTCATATGTTTGGTGGAAGCGTTTCACCCCCCAACATTGTTCCCCAACTATCGCATGTTGCTGCTGGAACCTGCGCACAGTCGTTATGTCCTGCTCAGAAAGAAAACTGTGCAGTTCATTGGTGTACACTTGTGTACTTGCACTCCTAGTGGCACCCGGCACCTTCCTGACAAGACATGGTCAGCCCCCCATCCTCGCGCTCGCTCTTTCCTCTCTTTCTCTCTGTCCCTCTGTCTCTCCCTTACCTCACTCTCTCTCTCTCTCTCTGTCTCCCCCTCTCTCTCTCCCACACACACTCTTTCTCTCTCTCTTTCTCTCTCTCTCTCTCTCTCTCTCTCTCTCTCTCTCTCTCTCTCTCTCTCTCTCTCTCTCTCTCTCTCTCTTTTATCCAGACATAGGTTGCCGCCAACTGTTGCAAGCAACTGCATTGAAGGGCCGTCAAGCGGCTCAAGGTCTTGGATGTTCTTGACCGCCTATGGTGACTGGCGGTATACATTGGACATTTGGAGACCTAAGGCATCGACGTTTCCGAGAAGCACGTGATCAGGCTCATGCATTTGGATGCCGTTTTTTTTTTCTGCATACCGCCACCCGACAATGGCTAGGTCCCCCAGCCAGGTGCCCTTTTTGCATTTTTTTGGGGGAGGGTTCCCCCACTAAAATAGACTACAGAAAAAAGAATCGGGTACCCTTTTTCTAAGCTCTCTACTGGAGGACCTAGATGGGAACCATATGATGAATATGTGGATGGCCGCCACTTTGAAACCATGGTTGAAACCATAATTTGTTGATATTTACAGGGGAATCGAATCAGAGACCAGGTGCGAAATGGAGTTCGCAACCATCCGCAGTATGGGGGTCAGCACCCTCAAAGCCCTCGTTCCGCCAGGCCTTGTCCTTGGCCTTGCAGCATGAGTTGAGCCTTGCGCTGGCGCCGGTGCTGCGGGCTGGGCTCAGGCGGGCGCAAGCACCAGCCAAAACCAAGCGCGCTGCTTAGGCTTTTTGTTGGCCCATGTTCGCCATAAAAAAGGCAAACTCTTGGTGGAACTCATGGGTATGTGTCAATTTAAACCACCAGACCGGCGAACGCTTGAATATTTATCAATGTTTGCCAAAAGTCTTGGTATATGGACCGCAGGTTTCAGTCCTTGCTGCCATTGCCAGGGCATTTTGGGATTTCCAGTACCTATTTTTGACCCACACCCACATGAACAAATTCAAACTCAAGGAAAAATCCAGTGAATCGGGTCGGGTAAAGGCAAGTTGAGCGGGATTTCATATTGATCCGGATCCCGTTTTGGGCAGTTTTTGGCTTCCGTGTGAATCTGCCAACGCGTAGTGATTGGCAGATGAGGTATGAAGCATAAATTGGCCAGTGACCCCCGCACAACTGGTGGTGAAATGTAGGCCCCGTCCACTTGAAACGGCAACCAACTCAAACGTGGTCTGAGTGGTTGAAACACTGCCAAAAGTGGGCATGAGATTAGTTTGCTCTGACCTCAGTGCTACCTTTTAGTTGGAAAGGCTCTTTTTCCCAGTGGTAAGGTTTAATTAGTTGAAACGACCAGTAAAGCGCAACTCTTTCGAGGGAATGTAGCGTGGGCAAATTATAACACCGTCATTCGCGGGGGTTGCAACGCCCACAGTTAGGTGTATTTTTCTTGGGAGTCCATTCCTTATAGTCAGCTGGTGAAATATGGATGTGTGTTCTTGACTCCCTTTTGGTTAGCTCCCCCGCCCATACTGTGGATGGACGAAATCCATTCGCACCACCTCAAAAGCCATGGTTGAAAGTACTTGTTGGACTTTGCGTTCCTCGATTTATGTTTGTCATAGCCTTACATGAGCCACAATCAAAACCCGGGTAGATGAAGGTTAGTAAGGGACGATCCCAACTATAAATAGCCGCGGATATCCGCCTCCTTAATCCTTTACATGGTTCTGGGAATCGACCATTTTGGTACCGAATCGGTTTTGATTGCGGTAAACTGGGCTTACAGCATGCGGCAGCCAAGCTCCGAGCGCGGAGCGGAAGGACGAGGTGGATGGTGGGTGCACAAGGTAGGTGCACGAGGTGGATGGTTGCGAAATCGCACGAATTCGCACCACCTTTCTCAAAACCGAAGGGAATGATTACCCAGCCCTCCCCCATCCCCCCTACCCCCTCCCCACCGCCGACCTCCCCAAGTTAAAGCCCCAAAGTTCCCTTTGGTTTCCTTCTCATCGAGCCCATCTGAACTTGAAGTTGCAAAACAAAAGCCAGCTCGCATTTTTGGCGGGTTTTACTATCCCCCCCCAAAAGAAAAAAACAGCCGAGCCACGAACCAACGAGCACCGAGTGCCCGAGCGCCGAGTGGGGAGCTTCCACTCGCCAGGTCCTCCAACTCCTCGCTGCGCGGCGCCGCCGCGGAGCTGGCGGAGTTCTGCGTGGCGCGGCTCCAGGCGCCGGCGCTCTGCCCGCGCCTGGGATCGAGCCACCGAGCCACCGGGGAACGAGGGCGGCTGGGGGGGGCCGGGGGGGCGGGGGGCGGGAGGGCCGGGGGGCGGGGGGGTTGGCGGGGTGCTTCGGTTCCTGGGTTTTATGGACTTTAGTCACATTTTTTGGGGGAAGAAGACCATGTTAGTGGCTTGCAGGAAGTTTGGGGGACTTTTTTGGGGCCCATCAACTCAGGAAGTGAGCTTTGCTGACACACAGGGCAAACCGAAAGCAGGTTGCTGATCCATTTCACGGTGAACAAATGCGTCTTGTCGATTCTTTTGTGAACAAAGAATCTGCTGTTGTCTCTTAAAGAGAACTGATCACGAGAGGGAGCGGGAATTTCAAGAACCAACTCCTCCGGAGCAATGGTGGCAAAAGGACGACCCGTAGGCCCCATCATGAAGTTCCTTGTTACGAGAATTCACTGGCGCAGGCAAATTCTGAACAACTGTGCAGATGGACGTTTGCGGACAGAAATGTCGCTTCCAAACAGGGGACTTGTCTGGGCAACCCACTCAGAAATCGAAAAGTACGGCAGTAACTGGGCAATTAGTCGTTTTCAACCATGCATCTACAGACAGGTGTTCCATGGTGTTCCCTATAGGTCGGACCTCCGAACGCTTCAGGTTACCCAAGACTTGCCAGGTGTTCGTTTTGGGCTCAGTTTGAACAGTTTGCTTGCAAGGGGATCGACCGAGAACTTGCTTCAATTTTACTTCCAATTGTTCAGTCTAGTTCTCCAAAGGGTCACCTAGGGTTTGAGTGTGAGTCCTCCTAGGTCCCCCATTCGTGCCCTTCTTAACTCCTTTTTTTGGGTTTTGGGTTCCCCTACTAAACTAGACTACAGAAAAAGAATCGGGTACCAACTTGTTCTAACCTCTCAAATCTGGAGGACCTGGCTTCTTAAATTCAGTGGCCAGCCAAGCGTCACTTAGGCAGCTGCCCGGCCTCCTGGAGGTGTTGCTGGATGGCGCCGAGGCATCGACTCCGCTGATTCACATCCCTGGTGGCCCGAAAACGACAAACCAATGCCAGCCAGTGTTGTCCATATTCAATCATAATAGTAATGATAATAATATTTTTTTGATTATGATAATAATACTAATAACAATAGTAATGCTAATGATAACAATAGTACTGATAATAACAATAAATAATGCTCATACTTGCATGTACCCACTTTAGTAGGTTACCATGTTTCATGATTGGGGGGTAATCGCTTCTCCTAAAACAAACAAAAAGCAAACAAAAAACACGTCCCCCAAAAAAAAAACAACTGGAGGGGGAGTTTTATTATCAGGGGTCGCCGGTTTGGCCCTAGATCCAGTTGATAGTTTGCTGTTTAGTATTGGACTTGCATTGGAAAGTGGATCTCCTTTGATTTGGAGCAAACACTGCTCAGATTGCAACTTTTAAGTAAGAACTTCGAAAGGGAGTGTCCCATGGTCAGTTTCATACAATTATTTGCTTGTGTTGGGTTGTTTGGCGAACAGACCCCAATAATAGAACTTTCTTGGGGATGATTTTTTTTGATTGGTTACCATTACCTATCGGACTTGCATTGGAAAGTGGCCCCCCTTTGATTTGGAGCAAACGCATGCTCAGATTGCAACTTTTAAACAAGCACTTTCAAAGGGAGTGTCCCATGGCAACCCTTGGGTGTCAAAGAAAACGTGGAGCCTTTTTGTTTCAACACACTCTGGATGGGGGGACCCCTAATAAGCATATTTTGGGAGCTTGGTGGAAAGCATGTGTAGTCTCAGGAGTTTAGCATTGGTTTATTAGTATTGCCGATGTTTTGCCGCGGCTCGGGGGAGTTTATTAGGGGTAGGTTGATTAATAGGAAGAAGCGATTAGGGGTGGGTTTCCTTCTCATGTTTGTAGCCTCAGGTTGAGCATCCGATGGCCTTCCCCCATGCTCAGCTGAAGCTGAAACCGCCAGCAGGAGGAGCGCTTGTCGCTTCTGGCGGCGGTGGAGCGGAGCTTGGGCGAAAGCCTGCGGCCCCTACTGGCTGCAGGCTGCGGGGGCAAAGGGGCTCGGGCCTTGAAAAGAGCTTGCTGTTGTTTTGTGTTTTTTTCTTTCTCAGATTCGCTTTCTTAAACCAACAAGTAACATTATCTAGGTCTCTCATCAAAAGATGCATGTACAAGCCAACAACAAACAGCTCTCTCTCTCTCTCTCTCTTTCTCTAATCAAAAGACTCATCTGTGCAGGCATGTATAAGGCCAACGGCTGCCAAAAGGGGGAGTTCGATGCTACCCTTTGCCCCCGAACTGCTAGGACAAGTCCTTTCCAAGCTACGAGGGGAGCTTGGATTAGTATGGACAATTTTTGGGCAATAGACTGAAATATGTGGTGTCCATTAACATTTGGAGACTTTGGGAGCAGCAGAACAGACCAAGTGCATTCCAAGTTGTCGAACATGCGTTGTGCTTGTGGGGGTAGTTGTTCTTCCAGCTCATGTGCATCATTGATCCGTTTGGATTTGCGAGTGCCTTGATCAGCACCTGTTCCACCAGACTGCAGTTGCGAAGGGAGGTCTGATTTGCAAGTGCTGTTGTTTTCTCTGAGCATGATGCAGGGCGTCAGCGGCCCACCAAACCATCCCACAGCCCTTGCCCGAAGAATTCCCACAAAACCGTCCTTTTGCCTGAGGAACTGTCCATGCCAACACAGCCCAATTTCCTGTGCGCGCGCCTTGTATGCAATCACCTTTGGCATTGCACATGTTTTCTGCAAGTGGGCCTGGAGTTTTCACGACAAATGCTGGAGCTTTGATATCGCGGTTGAAACAGTGCGCTGGATGCCAAGAGGCCTGGAAAAGCAGTCATTGTGTGTGTAAGCCCATACCGTTTGGGTTGTACATGCTGCCTGAACCCTAGGTGACTCGCCGCTTCGCCAGAATCATAGGGCAACCCTGTTGGGTGACGGCATATCGGTGTTTTTTTGGGGGGAACTCCTTGATTCAAGAGCAACGCATGGCTCTGTAGTCTTTTTAGGTCCTCCGGTCAGTTTGAGGCATGCCCGGCAAAGTGTTGGACCAAACGGGTATGGGTCAGAACTCAACCACCAGGATATGGACCGCAGGCTCTAGTCCTTGCTACCAAGGGCAAGCCATTTTGGGTGCCTATTTTTGGCCCGCGCCCAAATCTGATTTTTAAGCCACCCAGATGTTGCAGGAAATCTGCCCTGGAAGGCTCTGGAGGCAGCGGCTGGGGGTCAGAGCCAAAGTCAAAAAGCATTGGTTTTGCGGCTGTCCTTACAAGACCTTTCATTTGTTTTAGGTGTTTAGGGTTTTTGGGGATTTCCATTGAACCCACTAGAAGTTAAACTTTGGGCAGGGGATCTGAGGACAGAGTTTAGTTATGGTGTTGGACGATCAATTCTGAAAGGACAACTCACGTTTTAGGCGTCCTTCCAGTTTCCCTTTCTTTTGGAAGGGGGTCTTTTTAAGATCCACTACCAACCAGAGGGCGCCCTTGTTCCTCATGGAAATCCACTGGAGGTTCGGACAGAGTTACCCTGATCTGTCCAGATAGCCATATGGGTGTGCCCTTAAAAACCGTGTTTGGGGCTGGTTTAACGGGACACCAACAGGAAACCCACCATTTTGGGGGCCAAATGAACATCCCCAAAGCTTGCTTCGTTTGAAGGGTGTCAAGAACGAGTCCAACAAAAAGACCTTTCCCCGCACGACCTCCGGTGGTACCCTTGGGTTTTCTTGGGTGGGGTTTGGGACCCTCAACATCAGGATTTTCTGCAGCCCAGCCAGTTTGCATGAAGGGGCCGTCCCCAATTGTTCAGACTCACTCTACTTGGATGCTCAGCCAACTTAGTTGGTCACAACTCGGGTATGCTTCGTGAAGCAACTGCAATTGGTTGTTTGGTTGAGTTGCATATAGCCATTGTTGTATCCTGGGGAGCTTGTGTTCTCCCCGAACCTGTTTTCGTTGACCTCCATTCTAGCTGGTTGTGGATGGGCCAACAAGAACGATTCGGGGGGAGGAAACGAACTGGTTCCGTTTTATCCTAGTTGCCAAGTAGGTTCAACATCCAAGTGGTCCAAGTGCCATTTTGGTAGGTGGTTCTGCTACATAGTGCAAGCATGATCATGGCAAAGCCTTTTATGAACCCCTAGCAAGTAGAACGACACGTGACTGAGTTGTGGGTGCTGCTGAGTTGGTAACACCAGGTGGCATAGGTGTCCGTTTGATCGGATAGTTTAAGTAGAAATGGATGGGTTTCACGGGTTCAGATGGGTGTTATGCTATCCATTTACCAGGGAACCCCATCAATTTTACCAAAAGGACACCTATGCCCCGAGATGTTTCGCGAACCGAGCTGTTCAAAGACCCCTTTGGTGCCCCTGAGGTAGAATTTTCGTCGGATTGTGGTCTGGGCCCGAGACCGATTCCTTTTTAACTCGGTTGGTGGGTCTTCTTGGCTTCATGGGGGTGGTCGTTTGACCAGGGCCCCAGCTGCCGGCACTTGGTGCCGCTGCTGCGCTGGCTGGACCTCAGCAAAGCTCCGGCTCTGGCCGGGGGCCCCTGAAGCCCACAGCGGTTTCAAGGGAGGAGGACTGAAACAAAAGGACCAACAACCTGAAAGGCGCCGGGGTCTTGAGATTTTCCCCTGGTGTTGAAGGGAAGCTACCACTGGAAAAATAGGTGTTCAACCTGAAAGGGAAGCTACCACTGGAACAATCTGTGTTCATGTTTGCTCAGACGCAAGCAAATGGCCTTGTTGGAGGGATGCAAAGGAAGTTGAGGGAGTTGGATGAGGGATTTGGACGGTCTTAGATGGGTTTGGAGGTTGTAGGGAGGGGATCCTATGATTTGGCAATAGGCTCTTTGGGATCCCTGAAATCAGGCTTAGCAGATGGGTGAAGTAGAGTTGTGCTTACCCTTTGGGGTTGGTGACTTTGAGGAGCAAAAACTGGCTCACACAACCAGTTTGAGTTGGCCAACTTCAAGCTTGCTGTCTTCATCATCCAATGTCGGCTTAACCATTGAATTTAGGTTGGTGTTCTTTGATGGCCCCCTTCCTGCTGAGAATCCATTCGACCATCGCCCATTGGTTTCATGTATTATATAAATGCATATTTAAAGTAGCGGGGGTTCCATGGACACCAACTCGGAACCCCACACTCGCAGGGTCTTGGCAAGAGGCGATTCCTCCCCCCCCCCCCCCCCGAGCGCTTGAGGCCCGGACCTGCGCGCAGATGGATTTGAGCTCCGCCCGCGCGCAGCTGGAGGTCACAAACCTTGGCCTCGAGGCTCGCGCGAGAAAAACGCGCGCCTCGGAGGAGCCTCGGTCTCGCGAGGGCCCTTTTTTTTGCAGACCGACAAAAACACGAGGATTCCCCACTCAGTGGTGGACCGGGAGGTTCTTAATCCTGCAGATTCCGCGGTGCAAGAGCCTAAGACTGTGGTTTGTCAGGGAAGGGAAGACGCTTGGCGGACCTTTTGTTCTCTGGTCTTTCTTTTTGTTCCGAGGCAACCATTCAGTTTTCTCTTGACTATTAGGAAAATGAAAGGAGCGGGGGCACCTGACATGTTAAACCGGGGGTGGCCCGGGTTTGCCTTCATAGGGCTTGGTTTCCTCGTCACGTTTCACCGTTATTTCTTCGGGAGAATGATCATCAGCTTCTTACGTGGACGCATGCGTCCAGCCTTTGAGTCGCTGGTTGACATCTGGTTTTGAGCATGCTGGGTGCTAAATAGCGATCGATGTGCGCCCGAAAGGACACTAGCAGGTATGGATAGACTTTGTTGTTTAAAGATTTCTTTCTTTATGCAACACACACAACATGGTGACCAAATGTCCAAGTGTTCACCCAGTAGTTTCTTGGATTCCGACACACAGCTTTGCTCCAGCGGAGTTCAGTTGTGTGTGTGTGTGTGACACATGTTCTCTTAATCTTCAAATACAGCGGGTGGATAGAGACTTGTTTTTGTCCTGGAAGATATCCTTACGCGCTAGCTAGTCCATTTGCCAGTTTCTTTACTTGGTGGCTTCCAGCCATCCCCTTAGCTTTTTTGCCTTTTAGTGTTTAGTGGTAGTTTTCATGTAACCACTAAAAGTTAGTCACTTTTTGCGGTGGATCTGAAAGCGGGCAGCCCAGTTTAGTTAGCGCAACCCCCCTACTTCCGCCATGGCACAGGTGTGTCGAGCCCCCCTCGCGCCTCGTCGCGCGAAGACGCGATCGGGAGGCCACGCTGGAAGTGCTGCTGTTGAATCGACCTCTGGCGCAGCAGCTGCAGGTGCGGATGTGGTACCAGAGTCAACTAGGTCCCCCAGCTAGGTGCCCCTTTTACCGTTTCTTTTTTGGTTGGGAGGGTTCCCCTATTATAGACTACAGAAAAGAAATGGTACCAACTTATTCTAACCTCACCACTGGAGGACCTAGTCAAGGTTTGGACATGGGGCGCGTCCTTTTTAAGGATACTCTTTGTGGGCTTAGTTGAAAGGGAAAAACTACATTTTGGGGGTCTACTTACATCTTTGCCCCTAGAATAACGGGAGGTTTCCGGGTTGAAGTTTGACCAAGTATTCACCTTGATCATCGTGCCATCCACTTCATGACTACGCCTTCTGGGAGATGGGCTATGAACAAAGGCAGCTGGTGGCTTTCTTGTTCGTCTGAAAAGGCACCGAAAGTGTCTGGACTTAAAACTTTATTAGAGGCTCATGTTGGTGGCAAGCCAAAAGTCTGATATGTTTTGAACCAAGTTCAGTTGCAGTGGAACCAACACGTGGACCTTTTTTGGACCAATCCACTCAGAAAGCAAGATTGGCGGCTCTCATAATTTCAGTTCAGGGGGGTTGTTTTATATCTCAACCACCATTTAGAAGCTACTTTTAGGGCAATCATTCGTTTTCAGGACCCAGTCGTCCGCTTTCCCCACACATGAGTTTAGGTTTGGGCTTACCTGATTGGCTCCCTCAACCTCTTGGAGGTATCCAAATCTTCCAAAGTTTCCCAGTGGCATTTTCCAGACTGCTTGCTGTGGTTAAGTGTTCTTTTGAATGCTGATCAATTTTTAACAAGGTCTGCGGGTACAACAAGCTCACCCACGAATGCTCCTTTCTTGGCTTGGCTCTTCGTCTGCACAGCCCTACAACCCCCCGAACACATCCCTTTGAGTGTTTCTCAAAGGGGGACCTACAGGTGGGTTTGCCTTTTTAGGGTACACCTTTTAGGGGTTCGCAACAAGAGGAATCATAGGCGATGGCCCTCCAACATCCCGGCCGGTTTGGGCAACATTCTCTACAAGTGCTTGATTTGCTTTCTTGGATGCCCGGGGAGGGGTAGCTGGAGCAAAGGGTCCGTTCAAGGGGTGTCTTCCTACTTGTGGCGAAGCCGCTATCATGTTCCTCGCACTGCAGGTGCCAAACTTGATTAGCCTGCAAAAACTGAACTTGTTGCAGGCCAAGATGTCAAGTGCCATGTTAGGAAGGATTGATTCTTCATTTCTTTCAACCATCTTTCAATTCAAAAGCTGGGCCAAGCACGTTCCCCAGGATGTTTGTTGCTTTGTTGGGGTGATCTGATTTCTGGAGATTAGCTAGCAGTGTGCAGGCCTACACCACGAATTTCGGGTGCCAAACAAATGGCCGCAGAGGTGGTTGGTGGTTACCAACATCCCCCGACGAAATGCACCCAAATGGGGGGGTGTCTCCAATAGCGGAGCCCCAAAATGGCAGGTGTCCTTTTGAAATTCCATAAGAAGGGTACCTGGACCCTCAAACTACCTGCAAAAAAAGAGAATACCCCCCCTATATATATGTATATGTTTGAGGGGTGTTTTGAGCCGTAAAACCAGACACACCCACATTTTTGGAGGGAATCTGGGCGTCCAGTCGTCCAGGCGCAGGGCGAGAAGCTGACGCTGAGCTTGATGGCTGCTCCCCATGAAGGCGAGGGGACGGTGTGGCTCTGGGTCAACTGGTGCGGCCTCTCTCTGAATTTCTCCGAAAGGAGGCTTTTTTCGAGGGGTACCTTCCATGTCCATTCTTTCCATTCTGAACCCAGGGATCCTTCTTTCTGGAAAACCTCCGGAAACCCAGGGAAAACGGCCGGTTTTTGGAAAGAACGAATCAACCCGTAGAAGTTTTGGTTTTTACAGGCGAGATGAAACATCTGCACCTATCAGGTTGCCAGCAGCCCCCCCCCCCCAGAAAAAGAAAAAACAACTGATTCTTGGACACTTGGGATTCTGGTCATGCGAGCAACAGTGTATGGGTCCCGAATAAAAGCACTGGGTTGGATTTAGATTGCCCTTTAAACAGCCGCAAAACAAGTTTCCTTAAAAACAAGAAAGGCAGCCCCACTAAGGTTCAGACAACCATAGGCCAGGATATGGTTATATATTATTCCAAGGCGCCCCTAACTAAGCCTTCAGGCTTCCGCGTCAGATAAGCATCACCCCCACTCACTGAAAGCACAGGAGCTTTGCATTTTTTTATTTTTTTATTTTTAAATATATATATATATGTATATATAGGCTTTTGCTCACATGATGGTAGGACATGTTGAAAATCATGGTTCCCAGCGAAGATTGACTACGCCCAGAGCTCCATTTACGGACTGAAAGGACAACCAAGAAGTGGACCCTGTGTTGCTTGGTTGTGAAAGGAGACAGATGATCCTCCCAACCGAAACGACTCGTCTTGTGCTTGGTGAGAGGCAGAGAGGCAAACCAAATATTTTAGGGCCCTTCACAGCCAATCAGGCTTCGTCGCACAGCGAATCTCTTCTACACTGCTCCCTTTCAGTGAAGTTTTACCCTTTGACCCCTGCAGGGGTTCAAAATCTCTAGACATCGTCCCTTCAAACAGGTGCTGTAACCTGGTATCAAACAAGCGTTACATGCATCATGAAAAATAGATCCAAAAATCGAAACCTGAGATTTCTAGTTGCGCGTAAAGGCAGGTCGCCTTGGTTAGCAAGGGAGCCCTCTCGAAATCCTGTTGCGCCGGGTTTGACACATCACTGTTGGGATGGCCGAGCGGCTTTGAGGTGAGGAAAAAGTATGGGAAGCTTGTTTCCCGTCGCGGGCCGGCGGCCAGTTCACGGCCCCTTGGGACATGAATGGTGAAAGCTATGCCTGGGTGTCAAGGTAAAGATACGAAGCCCACAATGCCATCTTTCCGTTCCGCTCCGCTCGTCACACAATGTCCCCAGTTTCCGATAGGGTGCGGGGCAATCTCAAGCCACTGTTTCCAAGCTGGGGGAAGTTTACAGCCAAGACATGTGGGCTTAGCCTTCAGAGCAAGCGACACTGACATTCGGCCTGTGTTGAATGGCATCTAGGTATCAAGGCAGCCGTGGAAATCAGCATTTATCTTGGGACATTCGCGATTGCCTATTCTCTTCCGGCTCACTCTCCGTGAGCTTTCGCTGGCCCTATGATCCCAGGAACATCAAGACATGGACCCTCGAAGTAGCCTCAAAAAACATGGGTTATACCCCCAAACATGGGGTGAATCCTTTTTCTAGGGTAGTTCTGTCGGGTCCAGGTATTTATTTTGATGGCCCCTTTGCCTTCAGCTGGCTTGCTCGAGCTTCACGCGCAAACCGGCCATGGCTGCCGAGCCACGCGGCTTAACTGTTGCGAGCTGTGGGTTCTCACCAGGGGTCATAGGGCTATGGGCCGCAATAGGTGCCCAAAATGGTTTATGGACGTAAGGATTAAAAGCTGCAGTCTCCTGGTGGTTTAATCGACTAAAAGCTGCCTATATATACCGTACGTACCCCAATAACTGCCTCTTGGACAGTACTTGGGATCTTGGACATACAAAAGCAGTTGGGGGGTGGTAGGTATCCTTTTTAGTTCGGGCACAACTAGATCTCAGCAGTTTGGCTCGTAAAGTCACTTGTATACCTGTGCTTTCTAGCTGTCCACAGAACGACTATGGGGCCCTTTTTTTGACCCGAAAGGGTGATATATCGTTCCGCAAACATGTCATGAGGCGGCTGCGCGGCACCGTGAAGTCCTACCAGCCGGGCGCTGGCTATGGCTTCATTCAGTGTGACGACGTGGGCGACGTTTTTCTGCATAAGAGCCAGTTGCGGCGACTCAATCTGGAAACTCTGCCCACCGGCGCAGAGGTGGTCTTTGATGTGGAGATGACCAAGCGGGGCCCGCAGGCATTGCGGATTTGTTTCTCGGTTTGTGGTTGCCACTTTCTGCGACACCGACGAAACAGCAGGGATCCCCTTCAAGACTGACAAAGTTTCATGACTAGATGGGAATCAGCCACTTGACGGTATGACAGAAAGGATATCACACAACAAGTTTTGACATTTCGCTTGAGAATTGACAGAGCGCAGAAGCGAAGCTTCTCGTGGATAAGAGGGATTGACTGATTCGACTCGAATGTGTGAGTTTAAACCACCACCACATGCATGGGCCTATCCTGATGCAAACATCCAGTAATTTGGAGAAAATCATATTAATCCGAGGATCCCCCAAACATGGTTGTTGTTGGGAAACATTTACATTTTTGCTTATTGTGGTTTCGTGGGAAATCCCCACTGAACTGCTAAACTTTAAATTATTGCTCCCCTTCCAACGTCATCCAATCAAAGATGGATCACTTTGCACTAAAAGGGAGCCATTCCGAAGTTTACATTCTTGTGGAAGCGACCGCTTGCGAGGCCTACAATCTCTTCCTAGCTGAGGAGGCGGCGAAAGGTTTGCCGGAGACGCAGGCGAAGGTGGCGGAGGAAAATTGCGAGAGGCGGTTCTGCGAGTATGGCTTGAACCGATATGAGCGGCTTGGCAAGCGCAAGGACTATGGTGAAGCGTTTACAAAGTGGTTCATTCTTATGTGTCGGTTGGTTTCGTTTGGTGCTCTTTGGTTGCAAACTTGCTTTCTAAGCTGATGTCCAGTGGTGTATCTCAACAAACATTGAATCATTGATTGCGCGATGATGCTACCCATGGAGCCAAAAAGCACTTTGCTCCGTTAACAGAATGGATTCACTCCCAATGGTTTACCCTTCTCCTGAAGGGTCCCACGAGTTGACAAGATCCCCAAGTTTCCACAGCGCAGATATGTTTACAGGGGAATCGAATCATTCCAGATTTTCTTTGGTGGTGCGAAGTGGATTTTGTCTATCCACAGTAGGGGACTGCGCCCTGAAAACGTCCCCATCCGCAGAACCCATGCAGAGGGTACCTCCTCTTCATGGGTGCACTAAGGGGCAATAGCCCGTGTTACTGAAAGGCAACCCAACAAACAGTGGCTTCAACCATGTCCCGTACTGTGGATGTACAAAATCTATTTCGCACCACCGTTCAGAAACCCTGGAATGATTCGATTCCCCTGAAAATACCAACAAACACTGGTTTCAACCATGGTTTCATTTCGTGGTGCGAGATGGATTTCGGCCATCCACAGTATGGGATTCTGTTGGTCATCCCGAGCCATGTGAGGTTGGGTCAACATAGTCTGCCCATGTATGGACGTGACGAGAGGGGGCTTACGAGAAAGCGCGAAACAAAACAAAAGTATCCTTATTTTGACCGTGGCTCATATGACTTTGTCTCAAAATTTGTGTTTTCCTACTTCACCAATCCCAAAACGGGTTCCTAAGGACATATTGTATGGGGGGTTGGCCGCCGTTCACAGGGCATGTCACTTACCGATCAGACAGGCATTGCCTCAGACGCTTGCTGGACTCTCTCGAGACCAGCGGGTTTGGCGAGCGCTCCCTGGGGGCACTGAAGGACAAACCTTATCGGTCAAAGGTGGTGTGTTGATCAGGCCTGGGTTTCTGAAGAGCCTTGGTAGGAAAAGGTCGTTTTGCTGTGGCTTGGACCCACTTAGGCCCCTTCTTATGGCTAAAAAAACCCTCCTGACATAGGTTCCAGCTTCCACCGATGGACAATCATGTAGTATCCCAGAACCAAGTTCGGTAGGACCTATTTAGGGTCAAATGAGAAGAAGGTCTACACCAGGTTCTCAACTGGGTTTGGATACTCCAACAGGCTTGTTTTTGGAGGCATGAGGCTGGCAACAATATGCTTTTGGAATCGACCACTTTGGTAACTCACGGAGATCATTTCCTCGTCAGGAGGTTGAGTCGGCCTTGCAGTGCGCAAATTGCTGCGCGGACGAGCGCTTCGGGAGCAAAGTCCTGCTACTGGTGGCAGAGGCGTTGTCCAAGAGTGAATCTGGGATATCGTTGTTTTAGGAGACCCAGCAAACATGGCTTGTTGTATCTTCGTTTCCCTTTGAACACCAACGAACAAGGGGTTCAGCATTTTGAGACACACCCATAAGTTCAGGTTCACTTTGTTTGGGCCAGAATCTAAATGAGAAAATATATTTGGTCTTGGAAAAGCTGAGCTGCACACGACCGAAGCTTCCTGCTTATTGTTTGGTTCTGGTGGAGAGCTTGCGTGTGTTTCCGAATCTGCGAAAGGGCTCCAACCCAAACTCTCGAGACGTCTTTTCTGGGTTTGTCTCCAAGGAGAGGCCCCCAAAAAGCAAGCCACATGGCTGGCTGGCTTTTGGCCTAAGAGAACTTGGAGCCTTCAAGAAAGCCTCGAGTCCACTTCTGAGCTCTTCGAAGCCCTTGAAACGTTCAGCCGAGTCAGGGAAGTTGACACCCTTTACCCAACATGCCCAAAGTGCGTCGAAGTGCGACATCATTGCCATGCATGGAAGGTGCCTGGATGGATGGATTGCTCATGCGGTGTGCCTTGTTTTTTTAGTCAACTACTGGTTCCAATTTCTGTGAGGAACGCCAAGGCGCTCCAATGGTGATTCTCCCATCGTGAGTTTTAGTTCAACCCAACATCACCCTTTGGCCTTTCAGCAGGGGGATAAGAAACCAGGGAATCACATATGTTGTAAGTTACCATAACTCACCAAATAAGACTCAATATTAGTAACGATACTAACAAGAATAAAACCCCCTAGTACAGAACCTTGATGCCTTGAATCTCTCATTCCCCCCCCCCTCCCCCCCCCCCCCCTTTTCGCCGCCCCGGAGGCGGGGCAAAGGTGGGCGGACAGAAAGCACCCCTGCCACAGCGCGCTGCTGGCGTCCTTGCGCGGCAGGTTGTCGGCGCCCCCACCGCAGCCTGTGAAACTGTCCATCAACAAGCTACGGTTTACTCAGGCGGATCACAGCAAGAGCTTCTTGAATCCCGGCTTTGTGTGGCATCCTTTTCCTGTGCTGTCTGTGTCTCCCCTGTTTTCAAAGATCCTTTTGCGGGTTTGAGCGGGTTTCCCTTTCCATTCGACCCGAGAAAAGGTGAAACCATTCTCCTAAAAACAACTGGAGGCATGGCGAGCATGCTGGGCAGAGGATCGATTGGCTTGTGGACCAGTTGCTGTCTGGCAACATTTCGGTGGAGGATCCTTCCATGGTGCCTTCGCACATTGTAGCAGTCTAAAACCTGGGTGTACAGCGAGACAAGGACATTTCCTTTCAGGGAAAGGCTCTCCTTATCTCCAGTTTGGAATGTAATCATTTGCCTATAGAAAGCTGCTGAGAGGGCTGTTCCAAAGTACAGGGGTTCCAATGTTGGACGTCTGGTTTCGCTGGCGGTATCACAAATTTCAACACAAACTTCCGAGTTTTAGAGACCCTGGGGAGGGGCCAGGTGCTTCACGTGGTCTACTACCATGGCATGCATCGCTCTCTGAACAACCGTCATCTCACTGCGTTGGTCAGATTCGGCGAGCTCATGGCATCTCGCGATCTCCCAGCACCTTGCCTGTCAAAATCAACCCTTAATCCTTCCAGATGGGTGACCTTTCCTTACCCACACGAAAAAAATGTATAAACCTGTGCCATCTACATTCACCCTGGTGTATGTCAAGCGGTAGCGGTTTGCCTTGTAGCATTGGTGTCCCACTACGATTGATCCCCTTTTGAATTTGTGTGCTACCAGTCTCAGCACATCAGGTACCCAAGTGCCTGGTCCGCGTGTGGCCGTTGGTGAGAGGCTTGCAACTTGATGATGGCTCGCAGCAAGATGTCGTGCGGAAGTTCCTGCGTGCCAGCAATTCCCAGAGTGACGGCACGACAATTCTGCGCAAGAGCAGGCATGGAACGTTCGCCACCGAGGTGGACCAACGCACGCGGATCCATGTGTTCGACTTGGATTACTCTGTGACTGAGAAGGAATTGGGGGAGCATCTTCAAGGCAACGGAGTTGAGGGCCACTTCAGCGTGGAGATCAATTACAGGCCCAACAACCGGTCCAACGGATATGGCCGCCTCACGTTTCAGAGGTGTGAGGATGCTAACGCTGCGCTGCTTGCAGACATCCCACCCTTGCGGAACCGGAAAATTAGGATGCAGCTTGATCACGTTTCCAAGTTTGAGAGAGGCGAGCAGTCGAAGGAAGGCGGCTTCATGCGCTGCATATGCTGTCATAACAGGTGCGCCCCATTGGTCGATGCGCTGCTGGTTGAGGACGTTCGCTTGGCTCGCGCGGACACACCAGCTGGGAAATTCGATGAAATATCATCTTTCTTCTGTATCGGTATCGCAGCTTCACTTTTCAATTGCATCCGTGTAGACCACCCAGATGCAGCCAGGATGCCCTTCAAGATCTCCCAAGTGAGTTGCGCGTGTTGCAATGCGGACTTGGGGAACGTTCAGAAGGCTAGTGCCATGCACGGCAACTGGGCTGAGCTGCTTGGGGAGGAAGTGATGCATTTTAAGTCCGCGTCTGTTCTTCTGGAACTGTCAGATTGCCATGACAGGCTTCTTGAAGTGCGGAAGTGGCGGTTTTTGGCTGACGCCGCTGGGCGAGAGCAGAAGTACCGGCTCAGCCAGCTCACGCTTGTTGAGGCGCAGGACTTGTTGGGCCTTCGCCAGCAGAACGACAAGCGCCACGCCCGTGTGGTGCCCAACAAGTTGGCACCGAGTTAGAAGGCGCTTGGGCGAAGCCCGTGCCGCCTTTCGATGGTTTCAGCTGGAGCAAGAGGACAAATGGCAGTGCATCTTTGCTTGGCCGCTGGGTCGCTGGGTTGTGCTGTTTTTAGATGTGTGCGCTTTTGCGGTTGTTTCAAATGTCGAAGAAGAACCAGGAACAACCGCCCATATTTGGCCTTCTTTGGACATCCGCGTCATCCGGGAGGTGAGCGGATTGACCTCAACCCTCCCCCCCAACCAAAACGCGCCGGTGCAACTTGGCCTGAGAGGCCGCACTTGGCGCTTGCTGCTGCGTTGCCTTCACCTCTTTGGCGAGGCGAGAAATTCGGAACTTGGTTCTGGGTGTTGTTTTTTTAGTTGGACCCCTCCAAAACTCCAAAATAGTGGTTTTCCCTTCCCCCCACCAGAGAAAATACACATGAAGTGGGTACCCCCCAGAAAAGACAGACTGGTTTTCCTTGTGGTTTCCCTTCAAAAGCCAGGTGTTCCTTTGCTCCCAGGCTCAACAGGCAGCAAGGGACCGTGGTTTTTGGGGAGGAATCGATGTGAGCAACGGTCATGAGCAACGTGTAGAGATGGCTGGAGATCTCTTGTTTTGACTTGGCTGCCAGGATCAAGCATACACTGTATTTGGTTGAGGGCAAAAGCTGAGGCGTTCCACTGGCCAAATGAGCATTCGGGTTACGAAATAAGCCTGTGCCGCCGCAAAAAGGAACATGGCTGGGATCAAACGAGGGCTGTATTGGCGGATTCTCAACCCAGCCATAACCCAAGCGGAAAAGAACAGGTTGTAACTGGCATTCCATGATTGCTTGAGAGCAAATACCGCCGTCTACATGGGCAATCGTTGCATCGTTTTACTCCAAACGGTTCATGGCCTTTTGTGATCTAGGTGTGACCGTTTTAGAGGATATGTATTGTGTTTTGAAGCGATGTCATGAGTCATGATCAACGATTTCCATGTCGTATTGTAGCAAAGAGGTAAAGAGGCGACGTGAGGGACGAGACATCATATCGAAGGAACTTTGATGGTCATGATTGTTTGGCTTCTAGCTGATGAAAGAGCTTGAGGCGCCCGAGGCATGCACCGAACGTAGGTCCTTGCTGGCCGGACGGTTGTGGTTCTCGAATGGAGCAACAAGAAGAAGGGCTATCGTGTAGAGGTTAGCTGCCGTGAGGGACGTGCCTTTCAACCCGCGTGTTCTGCAAATCCGAGAAGCAGGGACCCTCGGAAGCGCATTGGGCTTTGGCAGTGTTGAGGCGTTTGACTGAAATTGGTTCCCCGCAAGCTGTCGCCTCTTTGAGCTGAAGCTCAGTCTCAGCCATTGGAACTTGGGTTTTACATTGGCACTTTTACGTGGCCAGGAATCTATGAGTGGCCAATAGATAGATAGGCCAAGATGCATCCCCAACAGATCAACTGGTCCTGGGGATGGGAATACCTCGTACGCCTCAAAAACCGGCAGTCTCTTGGGCACAAAGCGCGCGTGGTGTTTTCTTTTGCCGCGAAACGGCCGAGACATGTACCCTCCCGGAAGTCGCAGGTAAAATTTTCCCTGCTCTCTCTGTCCGGATGCACAAAGGACGTGGGTCCTTTGCCTGCAGGTTGTCAACATAGGTGTCCTGTTCGGTTGCTTTGGTAAAAACACAGGTGGCGATTCCTGGTTGACCGGTCGCTTGTTGCATCTACCCTCCCACCAACCAACATGGAAGCTGACAGGGGGTCCCTTGAAAAGGACAGCCATTAGTCTTCCAGCAACCCAATGTCAGTTTCCATGTTAATTGGTGGGAGGATACCGGTACTACCAAAGCCATGGATTTCCAGCTTGAAAAAGGGCCTTTCAACTTGATGTGTAGAGAACTTGCATCAGCGACCTACCAGCCATGGCGTTTTTCCAGCCGGACAGGACCTGGCCCTTCGATTCGACCTTTGTTTTTTTTTCCTCGGCCGCGCCGCGAAAAATAAAACAACCTCGGCAGGTGGGCTTTCTCCAGAAGCTGCTGGCCGGCTCCGAAGGCTTGGCTCCGAAGGCTTCTAGTCACCTTGGGTGAGGTGACTAGCGGTCCCCCAGCTTGGTTTGAACCTCACCCGTTTCTTGTTTTTGGTTGGGAGGGTTCGGTTCCCCTACGAGAACGGACAGAAAAAGGCTGGTAGCAACTTATTCTAAGCTCTCAAATCTGGAGGACCTAGGTAGTAAAGGGCAGCCAAGAGAACGATTTGGCTGGTCAAAACCAATGGTATCCCATTTTCGGGTAGGTGAATTCACCACCCATTTTTTGAACCTATTTTAGCCGGGATTGGGATGTTCACTGGGGGTACGGGATTTTGACCCATGGCCATTTGGTGTGGCTCAAAAGTTAAGAGGTAGGGTTACTCAGGTCTTAGTCTTTGGTTCCATTTACCAAGGTGCCATTTTAGTATACATGTTTTTGAGCCACAGCCATTTGTCTCCGGGCAGGATTCAGGAGTTCAGAACTTTGGTTCCGGCACCGGACCCTGGGTAGTCCTTTGAAAACTGCCTTCTTGGAAGCAACCACGGGTCCGCAAAACGGATGGAAGTTGGAATCCTTTGACCTGCGACAACTGGCCAAACACGGAGTTGCTTTAAAGATATTCAACTCAACGCCTTGAGCAAATTCATGATGAAGGTCTTGAGCATCCCATGCTTCCAGTTTCTGAATTCTAATTTCTGCAATTTTCCTCCAACCATACTTCATTCTCAGGAGACATGTGTGTAGTTTTTCTTTGTCGCCTTGTTTTTGGGCCAAGATGTCTCAAGTTCTTCGTCGGAAGGCGCAACGGAGGGCTGTGCTCCAAGAATCTCGCGACCGTGGAGATCCTGTCCCTTTCAACGGGTCCAAATTGATGCTTGTTGACATGGACAACCAAACCTTCTAAACATCCACTCACCTGAAACATAAATTTGCTTAAAGAGCAACGACCGCAAGGTCACACAGAAAAATAGCAGCCACCTCCAACCTTCAAGCTTGAACCTTCTCCGAACAGCCAAGAGCCCGACCTAGCCCTTCAAACCCCGCGCCCAGGCCCCCGACGGCTGGCCGTGTGGGCCGCCCTGGCAGCGAAGCTCCGGGGCGCGGGCCGAAGGGGGGAAGCCCAACCCAGGCTGTTCGCGTTTTGGAGCGCTTTCCCAGAATCAGTTCCTCTTTTTTGTGTTCTTGCTTTTTTTAGGGGTCCCCTTTGTTTTCCACTGTTTTTTTTTTGGTGCTTTTTTGGGGTCCCCTTTGTTTTCCACTGTTTGTTTTTGCTTTGAGGGGGTCCCCTTTGTTTTCCACCAGCCAGGCAACAAATATAGTTTTGCGCGGGGGTCCTAATTCCAGTTGATTAAGATGCAACGTCACAGCGACTAGTATTTGTATGAGGGTTAGCTCAAAGCTGGCGTTAAAGGAGGACCTAGAAAAACCAACAGACCTGGTGAGTTGCCTTGAAGCGAATTGATCCGTTGACCTGGTCTAAGTGTTGTTGTTTCAGCCGCCCAACGGGTCAGGCCTTGAGCTTGTGCTTTGGACATGCAGGGCCTGTCAAAGACGAGCACGTGATAAGTAGGCTACGGCGATGGTAGGGGTCTCCTTTTGCCCCACGTTTGATCCATTGGGCTAAAAGAGTTAAAGATATTGTCATACGGTGGATGGACGAAATCCTGCACTAATGTGAAACCATGGGAAACCATGATTTCTTGACATTGACAGGGTCATTCCAGGGTTTCTCAGGTGGTGAAGGATTCCGTCCATTCTTATGACCGCAGCTGTTGACCCAATGAATTGATCTTTGGGCTTCGCTTGCCCAGGCTTCCAATCTGCAGTGCCACCCGAGGAGGCTCAACTTTGCACGCGCTGCCGCAAGCGTTCCGACATGCTCCAAGAAGCAAGCCGCTGAACAGTGCAAAGTCATGCGCCAGTTGATACCCTAATTTATTTTTTTGTAGGTGTTATCCATCCTAGTGCCGGATTTTGTCCATCAGTATGGTTCAGAATCTCACGCACCCTTGTCAGCTCAGTTGCAAATGGGCTTCTGCAGAAGGACGACTCAAGCCTTCTAGGAGACTTGTTCTATATTTTTTCGGCGTGACCACCCTATTGGAACAAGGAAGCCCGCAACAAGCCTCATTTGTTCAGTGGCACCCTTTTTCCCTTCTTTTTGGTGGCTGCCCCACAAAAAATGGTCCAAGCCCCAAAAAGGTCTTCCCCTTTTCACTGAACAACTGAGGAACTTGTCTCCTGTCTTGACGCGGCGTCTCTGGGAAACCCCGAGTCTCTTCCAAAGCCAACATGAGTACTGGGCAGGGAAAGTTTCGGGTGCAGTGGTCCTTTCCCGTGGAAACTTCTTGGCTTGTTTCGGGGACTAGAGACCACAGAAACCTAGATTTCGATTGAGACTCGTTTGGGCTTGTTTTTCTTAAGCGTGGCCTGGTTGAAAGGCCACCAACCGCAAAATGCGAGGTTTTTGGGGTCCCCACTTTCAGCACTCACCCATTTGTGGTTATATAACCCAAAAGGAAAGCATACGGGTAAGTGCCCCAAAAATATGGTTGGTGAGTTCCCTTGGTTCTTTCGGGTCCAGGTACCCATACTCTCCTTGCCTCCTACACATACTCATTGGTGAACCCACAAAAAAAGCATCCACCTGGACCCTCAAAATGCAATTCAAAATGGGTTAGTGCCCCAAAAATATGGTTGGTGAATTCCCCTGTTTATGGGTAGTTTAAACAAAAAACGCTGGGTTTTTGGTTGGTTTGCCGGTCGCGTCTGTTTCAGGCGCGGGCGCTGGGGCGCTTCTTGGAGACGTTTCCGGAGCTGAGCAAAGACCCGGAGCTCTCGCCGCTGGCGCCGCGGACGAAGTGGCGTCGTTCAGTTGGAATAAACCCAGGCTCTGGTCTTTCGAAAAGGAAACCACCAGCTTAGGTCCCCCAGCAATTGGTGCCCTTTCTCACCCCTACAAAAGTTGGTACCCTTCTTCTAACCTCTCTACAGGACGTAGGTTGGATGGTTTGTGCCATAGGCAAGGAGGGAATGAACCCAATGACTCCCCTCGAAAGGAAACCAGCAGTTGGGTTCCTTTTGAGCCACGAACATCGGGGGACCCTCAAAAAACGACACACCTTTTGGTTTGGCTCTGAACAGAAAGACACGCACAGTTTGTTCAGAGCTCCTTGCTGGTTCCCAGGGAAAAGGTTCGGGGGGTGGGAATGGACCCCAAGATGTCTCTCCAAAAAGCCCAGCAGGGAGAGTAAGAAGTCACTCCCTTTCCCAGAGAACCAAGGAATTGATATGTCCCGTTTTGGGATGGATTAGACGTGACCTGTTAGCTTCCATGCTTTGAAGTTGGCTACCAAGAATTGGAGCCATGTTCCCATCACCAGATGCACTTTTGATTTGTTTTTGTGGATTCCTTGAGGACTTAAAACGCGTGCAGTGGGTGGAATCCATTTGGGTAATACTGCTGGGTGAAAGTAAAGGGGCATTCCAGCCCATTTTGGGGTTGCCACCAAAAACCCCACTGCGAATCATGCCATGGACTTCCCTGGTGGGAACATGCGTGGCCTCTGTGTGTGTGTGTGTGTGTGTGTGTGTGTGTGTGTGTGTGTGTGTGTGTGTGTGTGTGTGTGTGTGTGTGTGTGTGTGTGTGTGTGTGTGTGTGTGTGTGTGTGTCTGTGTTTGCTGGTTTTCCTTTTGGTTTCACTTTAAACTCACCAAAACACGGGGGTACGAACTCCAAAAATATGACTTACTTGGACCCTCAACACACGCTTGAAAACCCCCAACCCCCCCCCCCCGCAAAAAAAAAAAAAACATGTCGGTGTCCCTGTGGTTTCCCGGTCAAAACCCCAAAAAGGGGTTACCAAGTCCAAAAAAGACCTCAACACACCCTTAAAACTGGGTGATTGCCCCAAACATGTGGTTGGTGAATTCCTTATGTTCATGGCTTGTTTTTTGTACCCTTCTGGTTGGACATCAGTCTTCATGTCCATCAAGGGCCCCCAATTGAAACGGCTGTGGGTCAAAAATATATACCCCACATGGAATCCTGGCAGATAGAAACATGGACTAAAGCCTGCGGTCTCCTGGTGGTTTAATTTTGACCTTTTTTTGAAAGGGGTGACCAGACACGAGATGAAGGTTGTTTGTTTCTACCCTGGCCCCAAATCGCCACGTCTAGGTCCTCAGCTACACCTTGGCCCTGCTCTTCGCGCCCAGCTCGCACCTCGCGAACACAGCGCCGGCGCCGAAGGCTCCGCGCGGCGCCGGCGAGGGAACGACGGAGGCGCCGAGGGTCGAGGTGCTGTCGGGGGTGTTTTGCCATGGTAAAGACCCTAAAGACTTGGGCCTTCAGGGCAAGGCATGTTGTGTTTCATGAGCGCGTGCTGCATGATAGCTACATTTACCGGCCGTACAGCCAAAGACTTGGGGATCCACGGATCCACTTCTTATTTCAGGTCTACATTTACGGATTGACCCCCCAGTGAGGTTCCGACCGGTGGTTTCCTTGAAGTTCTGTTTTTTTGTTTCTACAGTGTGGATGGTTGCGAAATCCAATTCCGTAGCACCACTTTGAACCCATGGTTACAGCCATAACGGTTTTCGGTATTGATACGGGGATCATCAAGAGGTTTCTTAGCTGCAGGAGGTCGTTCTACGTGAGTTCGTGGGAGGTGGTTCTCGCTCCTTCGGGAGGAAGGACCCTCACCCGCGCCATTGCGAGGGCGGGGAGGGGAAAGGGGCATTCCACTGAAGCCAAATGGTGAGGCTCACGGGTGGTGAACATCAGTTCCCATGATGTCCATCAAGAGTCCCCAATTGAAATGGGTAACCAGACATTAGATGAAGGGAATCGATTTTCCTTGAGGTTTGGTGAATTTGGATAATCTACGTTCACCCAACTGTAAATTCCTTGAAGGCCTTGCAGAGGAGGTTGGGCTCGTCACATGGACGAACTCAATCTTGAGAAGGGTGGTTCCTAATTGGCATCCCCAAACGGGTCACTAGGCAACGGGGTTTGGGGTAGAATGTTTACAGGTTGGCACCAGCGTTGCACGCTGGTCCCTTTTCGAATTACCGAGATCACTGACCAACCAACGTTGGTCCCAATCAAACCTGGTATTAACATGGCCTGCCCAAATCCATGTAAAGAAACGAACGGTCGGCCACACCCATTTCTGGTTAGGACTGCCCCATACTCCCTCCAGTTCCCCCGTGCACTGCCAGGTGCTGCGTTCGTCGCCCTTCTGCAGTTCCCAGCGACTCGGAAAACAGACGCGCCCCCCCCTGTCTTGCCTGCGGGTATTTGGGGATCATGTCCTTCCAACCCGGTAACCTGTTTTTCCCTCTGCATATATATCTTGGTTTTGGGATCAAACAAACAGCTTCTGGGGGGTCGAAAGAATCAGGGCCTTCCTTGCCTCAGTCACTAAACATGGAAAGATGGTGTTGGCAGGTGTTGTTTGTCTTCGTTCTTTTAGTCAGGGCCCAAATCGTTTACTTCTTTTTTTGACCAGTGAACTTAGCAGATTTATTTGAATTGTTGGTCGTGCTTCAAAGGCAACCTAAAGTAAAGGTGACGGAAGGTAGAGGAGTTGTCTTTGTTTACGCTTCCTCCATTAAAGGTGTCAGCTTCCTAAAACCTAAAATCCATTTGGTATGGATGTATTTTGCTTTCAAAGGGAAGCCACCTGGAAACGACACATTTTGAACTTTCTTCTTTTTTGGACTTGTGACCGCTATTTCGGAAGGGCAACCTCCTCAAAGGACAGGCCTCTATGATGGTTCGGAAAGGGGACGCCTCAGAGTCACTCAGCGACGGAAAGTGACCCCGCTGGTTGGAAGGGAGACAAGGAGCCAAGGAGCCAAGGAGCTGCGGGCATTTCTCTGCTGAAAGCCCCATGCGCAGGAATGCTCCGCTAAGCTGGCCTGAACCACTAAGTGGTTCATGAAAATTGTGGGCCTCGGCAAGTGATTTCCTGTTGGTTTCTGTTTCAAACCATCCGAACATGCTATTGCGAGACAGACCATGAGGGCCCCTTTCAAGCCATGCTCTCCTGAAAGCGTCACCCGCAGCGCTGCGGCAAACCCCCCCCCCCCCCCCCCCCCCCCCCGCCAAATTCCTGCAGCACGTATTCCCTTCGAATCGCGCTGTCACCAGCGTCAAGTACATCCAAAAGTTCGATGATTTGTTTCTCCTGCGTAAGAGGACCTTCTGGCGAGTTTCAAGGTGGCAAGCGTCAGCGGGTTTGCCCTCATCTGATGTTGCCCTGCACCTGAGGACTTGTCAGAAAAGAGTTACCATGTTCGTTCTTCAATGCTCAACCCACATAGGTGTTAAGTGACTTTTGACACCCATGGGTATAAGTCACCAAGTTCGCCAACCTCCTGCCTTGATGTGTCAAAGCAACCCAGGGTCCCTCACACTTATGGAACTTCGGACGGGGCAGGTTTTTAGGTGCCAGTATACAGTATATGGAATGCTTCCAAATTCCGGCGCGCTGATAATTAGCCCCTCCTTGGCGGGATGGCACTTGAAAAGAACCAAAGGCTTCATCAGGAAACGGTTTCCCCTGCAATTCGGATCGTGGACCAGGAGCAGTGTCACATACCGTCACAATTTTCACTCAAGGGTATTGGTCATGACTCACTGATTTACCCGTGGGTATTGATTTACCCTGTGGCGGGGGGGGGGGGGGTCTAAATTATGGGTTCTTCTTTTTTGGTATCCCCCTGCATCAGGCGGCACCTTGGACGTCACCAGGGTCCGTCCAAGGTGCCGACAAGAATGGTCATTAGTTTTGACAACCACCCGTCCCGTGAATCAATGGTTAAAATAAAAACAAAGACCAACACCAGAGGTTTCTTGATTCACTTTTGACCCTTTCATTTTGGCAAGGTAAATCACCATCATGACAAATCGCCATCAATTTTGACCCAACTTGTTTCCTTGCCTTCTTGGAAACACGAGATTTCTTGATTCATTTTGGCAGTCGCATCGAGTTCAGCTTCCCCGCCCGAGGGCTCTGCTGGCTCTGCCCAGCTGCGCCTTGCCGCGGCGCGGAAGGCGCGGCGCGCAGCGGCCGCGCCGCAGCCGGGTTCCGCCGCCGCCGCAGCCGTCGGGCGAGGTGCGGGGAAGTTGGAGCCAGAAGTCGGGTGAAGCAAGAGAACTTTGATAGACAATAAGTTAAGTTATACTGTGATGGACAACATCCATTTCGCACCACCTCAGAAACCCTAGAATGATTCGATTCCTTTGTATGCTAACAAACAATACTTTGGTGCATTTTGCATGGATAGGACTTGAACTGTTTGCCAACGAATGGGTTTTCCATTCAACCACTGAAAGTTCAACTCTTAGAAGGGGAACAGAAAGCAACCGAGAAAAAAAAAAAAAAAAAAAACTAAAACAAAAACTCATTCAACAGTTCCTGAACTTCAGTCGCTTTTCGGAGCTGGACCAGTTTACAGCAGTAGTTTTTTTTTTTGGCTCATCCACTCAGGAAGTAAGCCAGCGGCTGTGGAGATTTCAACTGTTTCAGCATGGTTTTGGAGGGTTCAACAGTTCAACATGGTAAGCAGGTCTTAACAAGGGTAAGCGAAACACGGGGGTTGGTTGACTACCAGGACTATCACCTGTCTAATCACTATGTTGACTCGAACACCCTGTTGGCATTTCAAGGGGGAAATCAAGGGCAAACAGCTGGAAGCCAAAAGCAGGTTTAAGCACAAGTTGGATTAAACATACTGAAGCAAGGGGATGGCCCAACCTTAATTGAGAGTGTCACTCCGTGGACGGAAGGGAACTCAAGCCAGCGCCGACCCCCATTGGCCATTGAAGAGTAGGTGGTTCCGCTAGTTGTTCCTTGGGTTTATGGCAAGGCCTCTATGTGTGGGGCTTAGATTAAAGAGCTAGGCGTACGCAGGGTAGTTCCATTTCACAGGGTGCCATTCTGGGTACCATGTTTTTCAGCCACGGCCAAACAAATCTTCACCATGTTGGTAGAACAAAATATCGATGGACGGCTGCTCACGCGGTTTCTCAGGTGCTGCTGCCGCTGCCCTGCGTCTTCTGCAAAGCCTCACAGGGAGTCACCCGACAAGGCGCGTCACAGCCGGTGGGGGAAGGACATGACTGGCGCGCCTGGAAAAATATGACAACAGCTTCGTGCGCACTGTTTTGCCTTCCTTCAACGAAGATTCAAAGACTACACGCCAAATTTTGCTCAACATGCCTCGTGTTATCTCGGACCCCTCCATGTTCAGGTCAGCCTGAGTTGGTGGTTTGGACTGGTGGTTTGGGGATTGGCCCTGTTTGTGGGTAAATGTGCCAGGACCCAATGACCCTTACAAGCCAATCCCGTGACATGTGCCGGTTCAGACACCACTTGTATGAGTATCCTTCCACCTCTTTGCTCATGGGTTAGAAATTCGGGTTCGACTCTGTCCTGAGAAGATGCTTCACACCTTGTTGTAGTTGCCGTCCGTGATGCACGAGGCGAGAGACCCATGCCCTTTCCGGACATGGGTTCGCAGTTTCCTTTTGGTGGGGATGGGCGATGATTCGCTTCCCAATTTTCTGGACTGTTGCTTTTGGGGTCGACCGTTGTATTGGAATTCCAAAAAGCGCAGACTTGTTTTGTCCAATCCACGGAAGTGAGACGATGCTTTTAGGATGGAGATGTTCGTTGGAATCCTTTCAGTGAGTCGAGGACGACCACAGTGTGCCTGCGGTGCTGAGTTGTCGGGGCCCCCGTCTACTGCAGGGGGAAGGTTGAGGCTTTCCCCGGTCTTCAGAGCTTTGGGTCGCAGATGCATTTTTGGGTACCCTCCCTCCAACAATCATGGACGTTGACAGGAGAGTTTTTAAAGACTACTGTCCTTTTGGGAGGCCTCCTGTCCACTTCCGTGATTGTTGGACAGGGGGTACTTGAAAGAACCCAGGAGCTATGCATCCTCGGTTGCCAGCCTCTGGGTTGCCTTTACCCTTCCTTGAACCGTCCAAAACATGAGTTCCTTATTTTACGCACCAATACTGAAAATGGACAAACTCCATTTCGCAGCACTTGGAAACCATGGTAGCCACTGTTACAGGGTGCGAAATGGATTCGCAACCATCCACAGTAGGAGGCACATCCTTCTTTCTTTCTTGGGCTGTCTTTGGCTCCAGCTTTAAGGGGGTTTGGCATACAACCCCAAAAAATCCCCTGCCTATGGCTACCTGAGTTGCAAGAAATGGGGTGACCATTAGGCATGAATCGTTCCTTTTGGTGTTTATAAGTTTATAACCAAGCAGAAAGGGTCTCGAAGTCCGTTTAAGCCCACACGGGTTTGCCCCAGAATGGTTGGTTTCCCTGTGCTTATTTCTCGTAGAAACCGAGTAAAAAGATTGGCCTTCGCCCAAGCAAGTTTGGGTGCCCGCCACTTGGTGGAGCCTCTTAGACTGCATAGCAGTCTTCCAAAACGCAATCTTTCGGCTTCCAAAACAGACACGCACACACACACACACACACACACACACCCTCCGTGGGCGGGGAGGGGGGAGGCTGGTTTCGTGGCCGGGGACAAACCCCATCCTTTCAGCTTCCGAAACCGCTGTTTCCAAAATACCGGACATCAGAGCGGTGATTCAAAATCAACCCTTCCTCATGGAAAGTGAGTGGTCGCTTTTTTGTTTTCTTCTGGGAAGTGGTGTCCCACCGCGGCCAAAATTTGGATTGGGAATCGCACCCCTTGAACAACCCAGAAGAAGGCTATGGCACTGGGCAGCTTTTTTTTCCACCCACCCTGTTCACCTTTCGGGTATCTTTCCAACTCGTGGTCTGGATTGGTGGTTTGGGAATTTGAACCCCTGGCTCTTGTTGAGGGCAAACGGCACCCCTTGACCCGGGCTCCAAGCCACCAATTCAGGTGAACCCTTGTCTTTTGAAGCCAAATGGGGAAGGTATCCCCCTAAGGTCCAAACCACCGAACCTTTGCATTTTGCTTGGATGTTAGGACTTTAACTTTTCGCCAACTAATAGTTTGTTCCATTCAACCACTAGTTAAACAACTTTTAGCAGAGCAGATTTCGCCACCGAGAAACCACCAGCCAGGGGTGACCGTTCACCTTGCCTTACGGCCAGTTCGCCCCTAGGCTGACGCTGGAGTGGTCGCTGCTGGACGCGCCGCTGCTGGACATCTGGGCGACGCGGCAGGTGCTGAAGCCGCAGGAGATTGATCGAAAACGAGTCTCGAGCCGTGAAAAGGGTCTGAGACAAGGGTGATAGGTGTCCTTGTTGGCTGTTTTGCTCGAAAGTTAGCATGGCGATTCCTGGTGTACCGGGTGGTTTTTGTTCATCAGGGAAATCCATCTACTTCTCCTAAAAGGACACCTATGACAAGAGTGTGGCTCAAAATAGGGTACCTGGACCCTAAAATATCCCTCAAAAAATGGGCTATGGCCCCAAAGTTATGGGGTGAGATCCATTTTGATGGGTAGTTTGAGGGTCCATAGTTTGTCAACAAAAAGACGCCCGGGCCCCTTATATGCTTAGGTTCCCGAAGATTCTTGAAAACTCAGAATGGCAATGTTTCACGTTGAACACTGTTCGAGAGAAGGTTGTTTTTTTTCCCAACGGAGGGTCCAATGATGCTTACCGTAATTGGGCTGAATTTGGACCAGAATTGAAGACGTGTCTGGTTGATCTTGTGTGCGCCCCCAAGTTTGGCCCCAGAACGGCTTCCGCAAAAGGGGATCCCCGAACGATCTCTGCATTCTCCATATCAAAGACTGGAAAGAAAAAAAACACTCAGCTCAACGATCTGTGCATTTTCCATATCAAAGAAGAGGATTTCAAAGAATCAGCTCAGGCGATATCCCCAGCACATGCCCTCCCCAGCATCGTGGAACGCTCAGGAGCTGCTCCGCATCATGGCCCGCCTGCGCCGCTCGAAAGTGAAAAAAAGATAACCGGCGAGCCCGCAAGCCGGAGGTGCCGATTTTCCCTGAAAGCCAGGGGTGTGTCAGTGGTTTTGTTTGTTTTTGTGGGGGTTTTCTCGTTTTTGTTTGGTTCCCTTTTGGTGGTTTTGAAGGAAGTCCAAGAGGGCAGCAGCGAGTCCAAGAGGGCAGCAGCGATTTTGGGGGGATTGACATATGTTTGGGTTCCGCCCAAAGGAGCTTTGGGAGTCCCTCTGCATGTAATTAGAGCAGGTCCATGACAATGTGTGTGGTCTGCTACAGGCGCGGCTTGTTTCCCTTACCGCCAATTGGTCTTATCCCGGGATTTGATTCAGAAACGCTGGCAGGAGGGAACCCCTCATGGTTGTTGTTGGGAAACATTTTACATGTTTGCTTATTGTGGTTTAGTGAGAAATCCCCACTTAACTGCTAAAATTTATTATTATTATTTTTTGCTTCCCTTCCAACGTCAACCAAGCCCTTTCAAAGTGATCCTGCCAAGAAAAGGCTTGTTCTTATGGAAATCCACTGGGAACCCGTGGCTTCGGAAGCGCGCAATTGAGGCTCGCAGCTGGGCCGAAGCTCGGAGACTGCTGTGTGTCTGCTGGTGTCACGGCAGCAAAGCACCGGGAAGAGAGCTCCGAGATGGTTTTTTCAGGTTGGACCATTGGACCCCCCCAAAAAAAACCGGCATCGGCGTTCCTTTTGCCTTGGCCTTTTCCTTTAAAACAACCTTAAAAGGGGTAGCCTCAGAAAAAGAAACACACATGGAATCCAGGGAGTGCCCTCCGAGGAGCCTCCAATGATAGCTTCTTGGGTTCCAGCACAAAAGGTACCTCAAACAAGAAAGAGACTCTCATATGATGACTCAAATGGGCATGAAATGTTCATGGGGACTTCTCGGTGGGCATCATTTATAGGCTCTGCCGATTGGTACTTGTCTTGAGGTTGGGAGTAACCCTGTTCTGAGAGCGTTCTGTGAACCTTTTTGAAGGAAGGGGGAAACTAGCACTCAGCGAAATCCACTTTGGGATCCCCTAAACAAGTTCCCTATTTAGATGTTGTTGTGCCTCAAGCTGGGACTGCCATTGAAAGGGCGACCTCAAGGAACCCAACTCCACCCGGTGAGTGGATTCCATCGCACTTTGACAACTGGCTTTGTCTTACAATAGGAGTTCGACCTCTCAAAAAGCCGGGTTCATGGTTGTCATTTCAGACCAAGCCCCCCCCAAAAAGGTGCCCGAAAAGGCATCCATATTTTAGCGCTCCCAAAATTGACCCTCCCTTCAAGATGAGCGACAAGCACTTGGGCTTGTTTCCCGCATGGTTCATTTTGCAGGCTCTCCGTCGTTCGTCAATCTGTCACTCACTGAGCAACTGGGCAACCGGGTGCCTTATGGAGACTCCGGAAGCAATCAACCTGGTCCAGTGAGGGGAGGTAGCAAGGCAACACCCGAATCAAATAAGTATTCAGAGTGTAGCAATCCGAGGAAAGTATAGCGGCCAGGCCTACTCAAGGTTTTGGGACCTTGTCCAGGATGAAGGCTAGGGTGTGTTTCTCCCCGTTGTCAATCTGTGAAACTTAGAATCTCCAGTTCAATCACGCCGAGTGCGGGAAAACAGACAACCAAGCCAGCAGCTTACCATTTTTCCAAGTGTGCAGGAGGTTTGGAAGGCTAGATTCATCTTAAAGGTGCCTCCTGTTTAGTTCGGTGGTTGTTGGAGAGGGTATCAATCAAATTCCTGCCGGCTCTCCAACATTTTGCGGGTTGCCAGGCAATCACTCACAAAGAGATTGCCAAAAACTGTCAGCAAAGCTTTGAGCATCCCGGCCCCTACCTTAAAAATAAAATTGAGGAGGGGGGTTACGTTAATCAAGTAACATGTTTTTGGGCTTAAAATCCAGGGGGGATCTTTGAGCCTTTCTGCAAGATCAAAAGCCAACAGCAGCCTAGCGCTTCCCCGCCAGTCGCCAGTCCCCCAGGCCAACGCGCACTCTTCTCCACTTAACTTTGGTCGAAAGAGAGGCGGCGCATTCGCTGAAAGAAATGGCCGGCGAAACACTTTCATTGCCAGCTCCCTCCCCGCTCTTCCAGGCACTTGCTGACCCCAACCACTTGCAGCTCAGCCAAAGCCTGAAAGCCTTTGAACAGATGCGCTTTAAGCTTCCAAGCCCTGAAAATATCGCCTTTTTGAGTCCAAGTCAAGTCTTTTGCCTTACACTTCGCGTCTAGGGCCTTCAAGGAAAGGACAAGGTTGGCAACAGGCATCTGAAGCGCTCGAAACTTTGGCAGAACCATTGTACTCTGCGGCTGCGTCCTTGAAAGCAGGCACCACAAAACCAACTGCCCGAGATTTGCCCAATTTTTGAGCTGGCGGCTCAGTGGCAGGAGCCCACAGATTCCCAGCCGGCGGCCAAGAAGGAGGATGCCGCCCGGCTTGTGCTTTGGGGTAGGTGCGCCACCCATTTTTTGAACCTATTTTAGTGGGGATTGTGATGTTCACTGGGGGTACGATTTGGGTTTTGAAAAGCCCATGGCCACGTTCATGGACATTCTGGAAGTAAAAGAAATATCGATGAAGCCCAAACAAGCTTGGGCCGATTTGAAAGAGCAAACAGCTCAGAGGCTTGGTGAAGCTCCTTCGGGTCGTGTTACCCACTGCACCCTTCGGCCCCGACCCCCGGGTCGTGGCCTCTGGGTCGCTGTACCCTGAAATAAGGAGGGTGCCCAAAATCGGGCCTAGTCTACCCCGACTACTCAGGGTTCAATGGGATATTATATGAGTATAATATATACATATATAATACATGTATGTGTGTTTTCCATTACCCCCCCCACTACTCAGGGTTTAATGGGATATGTTTGTAGGCAAACATATGTTTCAGGGGTAGTGAAACTTTTTGGTCCTTCCAAAAGAAATCAATTCATTGGTCAAAGGCGGGGCAAGTTTGAATTCTATGGCTTCACCCAAGTCCATTTCCCTACCTGCTCCACGCGTCTTTTTTTTCCAGGACATATTTTGAAGTACCGGGGTTTCCCATAATGCCACCTGTTTCAGTCCTAGGTTGACATCATACCCAATCATACCTTTCAAGAAGTGGGGATTGGGTGTAAGGGGATAGTGTTAACTTTGGATAAATCCGGAGGACCGTACTAATCAGGGATCCTTTTTAGAGAGAATCAATTCATGTTGGGTTGATTCCTCGGATTCATTGTAGGTAGCCAAGGGGGTTCCCCCATTGAAAAATAACAGTTGAACATGGCGAAGGGTGAAGTGGCGACACGTCTGGGATCCATTGGATTAATACTTGCAAAAGGGCAAGCCCCAGCAGAGAGAGGTCTCACAAGCGGTTTGCAACCCCAAACAACTGGAGCCATTTGCCCATGAGGAACGATGGGCCCTGGGCTGGGCGATTCTGGGCTTGTGCACCTGCAGTTCTGCGGACTTCCTAAGAGCCAACGCCGAGGATCGGTCGAAATTGAAGCGTTGGGACCGTCGGGCATTCGCGATTTGTTTGGTTTGGCTCGGCTTGGATCGCATTGCCGGGCCGAGTTGAACCACCTGTTTCACGAATCAAGTGTTGCCTAAACATCCTCATTCTTTTCTCCCTTTGGGTAAAATCCTGCTTTGCCGGGACCCAACTGCTTTTTTGTTGTTTGTTCTTCTTTCTGGATGGTCCTCCACCCTTTGGCCTAATTAGTCAACCCTCGAATCCAGACCTGCCATTGTGCCGTTGTTGTGTTGTTATTGTTGGAGGGTGTTCGCTTGAAACTCCAGCACTACAGGCGCCTTTCTTTCCCCCCGCCATGGGTTCGGGGCTAGGGAACTGGTGCAATCCTTTTGAAGTGGCTGGAGACTTGGGCGAACGTGGCTTAGCGCTATAGGGGGAAGGGGGGTTGGAATCCGCGGCATGGACAAAAGAGAAAGGTATGGTCCCGGTCGGTGACATTGGTACAACTTGTAGAAATGTGGGTTTTATTTTTGTGTTGGGGTCCTCCCCAAAAAAGATGGAGTTTGGTTCTCCTTTTGGTTTCCCTTGAACACCCACCGGAACAATCGGGGTTCCCCCAAAAAACAAGACGAGTTACCCAGTGGCAACGTCGACACTTTGGCCCAGCCGATCTCCTTTAGCGCGTCTTCGAGCTTTGGATCTTGGCTCAGCCCTGGAGCCCTCAATGGCATCCTTCGACGAAGCAAACCGAGTTGCCGGAGCTGCACCAATGTGACAACTAATTAATATTACTAGGTTCCTCTGTTCCAACCACCACAATCTGCAATTTTTCGACATGGGCAACTGTCCAGTAAGGGGGTCTCACCACGATATGGAAAGATGAACCACGACAAGAACAAACATGACTATGATAATGTTTACAGGACGCGGGATCAAGGGAACATGACGAGACACATCAAGAGATTCAAGAAATAACAACGACAAGACAACAAAGAAAACACGATACGGGGATGAAGGGGATATGAAGGGGAAATGAAGGAATCGTAGTTCCTTTGTTTCCTTGTCGCGGTAAGAAACACAAACACTTATCGCGGAAGCACCCTCACCTCATAACTCATAACTGTTCCATGGGAGACAACTCAGATGTGATCCTAGATGCGTGTGTGTGTGTGTGTCTTTTTTAACGATACCCCGTGTTTGGTGGGTGTTTCAGGGGAAGCCAAAAGGAACAACGCCATGTTTGGGGGGTGTCTCCTAAAACATCGCGCACCCATTCTGTACTTAACGAGTGGCTTATCCAATAGAAGCCCTTGGCCTGATTCAAGGCCGTGTGTCTTTTGTCGACCCTTTTCGGTTGTTGCAACTTCTTGGTTTCAATCTGATTTTTCCAGGTGTTTGGTTTTTGAAGGGCTTACTCCAAGAAAAGCCACCCATTTTCTCCACTGGTCTAGGGGTTGTTTCCCCATTCTTTTCAACCATCGCTCTTTTCGAAAGCCGTTTTCCCCGGGTTTCTGGAGGTTTTCTGGAAAGATTCGGATCCCTGGGTTCAGAATGGAAATGGAAGGTCCCCCTAGGGGAAGCTTCCGCAGGAGATCAGGAACTTCTTCCCTATGGAGATGCCAAGGACAGGGCGCACAAGAATTGGCTCGCCAGATCGATCTGAGCGGTGGCAATTGAAACGAAGCGTAGCTTGCCCGGACCAGGCTTTGGGCCGTTCCTAAAAGGGAAGTCGGGAAGGGAGATTGTTTATTGGGGGTGTTCAGCTAGCGGTGATGGAAGTTGAGTGCCTCAGCACAAGGGGAGAAAATCGGTTCTGCGTTTAGTGGCTTGCGAAAGGATTTTGGGAGCAATCCTTTGTTGGCAGCCTGTTTTTGTTTGTTGGAAGTGTGATCATTGTTCTAGGTGGACTTGTTTCCTCTCCCACGGAGGTCAAGGCTGGGCTCAAAAACTAACAGGGTTTTGACGGGTTTTGTTGTTTTAGTCAAGGCCCAAGAAAGTTTGATGGTTTTTTCCTTCCAATCGGTTGAGCAGGCCTCTGGCCTTTTGAAATTTCAGGAG